GATTTTTAAAAATTCATTTACCAAAGAAAGCCCTGAAACCTGGTAAATATCCATAATCAAGCCAGCTAAGTTTTTGTGTACTATTTTCAAGAGCTATTAAAGAAGAAGGGGGGGGCGGCATCTTTCAGAATAAACAATTTGACATCCAGCCTGCAGTAAACCCAAAATGTTATCAATCTTTGTACTTGAAAGTTCTCTTTAATGCACCCCTTCCCTTTACCATTTCTATCCAAGCTTGTCCGTTTTCTTCCAGAATCTCTCATTTGGCCTTTTTTTCCTTCCTTCCGTCTTCACTTCTTACCTGGATTTGCTCATTCATTCATCATCTACTAAGTGCCAATTATCGGCCAAGCACAGAACTAGACCCTGGTCCCTGCTCTCAGGAAGCTTACATGACACTAAGTAAAGTTGTTTCCTGCCCATCTCAATCACCATCACTAGCCTGCAAGCTTTAGCAAAGGCTTTGTATTTCCAGAAGCTAGCAGCATCTGGCATATAGCAGACACTCTAAAAATGTTTGTTCTATGACACTAGATTACTTTAGCAAGCTCTTTTTTTAAATTCCATAAATATTTTAGTACGTATCTTCAAAAAAGATTCTTTTCTTTCCTTTTTAAAACACAAAAGCATTATATGCATAATGCAAAAAATAATATAGAAAGGTAAAAAAGTAAATTCCCCAAACCCCTAAATCCCACTCCCAGAAGTGACGACCATTAGAGATTGGTAAATATCTTTCCTGAACTCTCCTATATAAGTATACCTCCACACCTCACACACACACACTTTTTTGGAACAAGTTACTTGACAGTTTCTGACTCTAGCTTCTCAACCTTCTAATCAAGTAGTTCTCAAAGCGTGATCCTTAGACCAGCAGCATCCATATCATCTGGGAACTTGTTAGAACTGCAAATTCTTGGATTCCACTCCAGAGATAACGAATCAGAAACTCTGAAGGTCAATCCCAGGAATATGGGTTTTAATAAGCTCTCCAGGTGATGCTGGTGCACACTAAGGGTTGAGAACTACTGCTCTAAGCCAGCCAAGCCAAATTTTTTTTTTTTACTATCCCTTAACCATGGCAGCCATTGCTATCTTGTCTGTTTTATCACCCCCGATTCAAAATGTTTTCCTTGTCCTTTTGATGAATTCTGACCCTATCCACCTGTCAAAGCCCAGAAAGTCAAAGCCCAAAGTGGTCTCACCACAAGAACTCATACTGAACCTTCTTGCCCCCTTTCCCCAACTCCCATGATACAATTAGTCCCTTTACCATACAATTTAACAATTATATGTACACAGGCTTCAACATTAGAGAACGGTGCTTTACTCTTCCCCAACAGACCATAGCCTCCTTGAAGACATGAATCATGTTTTTGTATGTCTTCCCCCACCCCTGTTCTAAAAACATAAATGGAATCTTAGAATTGCTGGTTAATGTCTTTAAGGATGAATTCACTGAGAAGAAACACTGATAAACCTTTAATGGCTAAAAAGTCTCGAATTTCAACTTGTAGCCCCAGTTCTGTGACCTTGAACAAGTTTAATTCTCAGGATGATGTCTACAAAAGTGAGAAGGTTGGACTTAATGACTCAATGCTCCTTTTCGGCTTGAATAACATACAATTTTATGAAACATCCCATGTAGGAATATCTTATTCCGTTATAGTCGAATATTGCTTTGCTTGTAACATTAATATAGGAATTTTTAGACTTTATTTTAGTGCAGTTAGATACGATGTTTCCCAATTAGCTAGTAAGCTCTTTCAACAGGAACCTGTTTCATTCAACTGTGAATCTTCTACTATCCAGCATCATACATCCATGTCTTACTCAGTCAATATATTCACAGAAAATTATTTGGAAAAACTCTTTAAGAAGCTTTATTTAGATAGAGAATCTATGCACATATCTGCTGCCTCCCAAAGGACCCTTTTGAATATTTATTATTATAAATACCATCTAATGATATACAGTAAAAATTGTGATTACTTTGATACCACCAGGAGCAGTCAGCCACAGAAGACAAAAGAATGTAAAAATGGATCTCTCATGCATTTAGGGACAGACTTAATGGGGTGTAAGCTTCAGGCTATCCTACTGCAACACACAAATGAAAACTGCCCTGCACACCGAAACAGCATAAACCAACTCCACTCTTGGGAATAAACAGGCATTCTCCCTCTTCAAAAGTAACAATTTAGAATAAAACAAAAGTAACCAGGCTGGGTGGCTCACCCTGTAACCCCAGCACTCTGAAAGGCCAAGGTGGGTGGATCACCTAAAGTCAGGAGTTCAAGACCAGCCTGGCCAACATGGTGAAATCCAGTCTCTACTAAAAATACAAAACATTAGCTAGGCATGGTGGCAGGTGCCTGTAATCCCAGCTACTTGGGAGGCTGAGGCAGGAGAATCACTTGAACCCAGGAGGCAGAGGTTGCAGTGAGCTGATATTGCACCACTGCACTCCAACCTGGGCAAGAGCAAAACTCTGTCTAAAAATAATAATAATAAGAAGAAGAATAAAACAAAAGCAGCTTAATTGTGAGCACACCTTTGAGTAACACAAACAGATTTTTTGATGCAAGACTCTTTAAGTTTTCAAAAACAACAAGGTGGATGGAGGCCTCTGAGTGGTAAATGGTGATGACAAGTTGAATCTAAAGGAAGGGACAAGCAAAGAGACACTGAAGGGCAGGAAGGAGGAACAAAAGAGAGCAGAAGAACACCACCCTTTGAGTAATGAAAAGGGGCAGTGGGGGCCGGGCGCGGTGGCTCAAGCCTATAATCCCAGCACTTTGGGAGGCCGAGGCGGGTGGATCACAAGGTCAAGAGATCGAGACCATCCTGGTCAACATGGTGAAACCCCGTCTCTACTAAAAATACTAAAAATCAGCTGGGCATGGTGGCACGTGCCTGTAATCCCAGCTACCCAGGAGGCTAAGGCAGGAGAATTGCCTGAACCCAGGAGGCGGAGGTTGCGGTGAGCCGAGATCGCGCCATTGCACTCCAGCCTGGGTAACAAGAGCGAAACTCCGTCTCAAAAAAAAAAAAAAAGAAAAGAAAAAGAAAAAGAAAAGGGGTGGTGGAAATTCACTAAGTCCTTACCAAGGACTGTGAGCCGGGTATTCGGAGCTACAAAGATGGCCCATACCCTCAAGGGGCTCGAAGTCTGCAGGCTAAGACCCTGTTTTGTGAACGTGTAATTCTAATTGGGAAAATCAAGCAGGGAAGGCTTCACAGAGAAGGTGGTGATCTAGTGGAGCCTTTGAAATGTGGAGGAGGATTTGCTAAGGGAGAAAAAAGACAGTTTCAGCTAGTTATTTTGGGGGAGAAACATTCACATAATTTTGTAGTTGTTCATTTGGAACTTTAAATCATGGGAGGCTTCTTAAAATCAGCACCACTCTATCAATGTTCTCTCTCTTCTTACTTTCTTTCTTTCTTTTTTTTTTTTTTTTTTGAGACAGAGTTTCGCTCTTGTTGCCCAGGCTGGAGTGCAATGGCGCGATCTCGGCTCACCGCAACCTCCGCCTCCTGGGTTCAGGCAATTCTCCTGCCTCAGCCTCCTGAGTAGCTGGGATTACAGGCACGAGCCACCATGCCCAGCTAATTTTTTGTATTTTTAGTAGAGACGGGGTTTCACCATGTTGACCAGGGTGGTCTCGATCTGTTGACCTCGTGATCCACCCGCCTCGGCCTCCCAAAGTGCTGGGATTACAGGCGTGAGCCACCGCGCCCGGCCTCTTACTTTCTTAAATACTGAAATGTTCAAGCCCAACCTTGGGGCAGAGCCAGAAAGCTCCGGAAAGAGGTGAGTTCTAGCCAAATCTGCTCTGTCACCTCCAAGTCCAGCCCGCCCAACTAGCCCAGTCAGCCCAGTCCTGCTCTCTTGGCAGCCAGGAAAGGAAGGCTAATAATATCCCCAGAGGGCCAGGATAATAGGGGGAAATCTGGATGACGGCAGGAAAGGCTCACTCTTGTTCTGTCAGTAAACCACCAAAGGAGAGCTTCCCTGCCTCCTAAACCAAGGGGCTCCTGGTCTACCTGTGATAGGGAGGCCAGCTCTGCAGAGGGGAAAAAAAAAAAAAAAAAGGCTTCATGAAAAGGAAGGGGGAAAGGTTTGAATTGGGAAACGCCGAGGTGTTATTCGAGGTTATCTTAATAAAACGCTTAGCAAGATAGCCGGCACACAGCGAGCACTGGAAGAACGTTAGCTCTTATATTGATAACACTATTATTATTACAGTAACACCTCAACTGTACTCCGACAAGAAAATCTTCTCTGTGCAGCCTACTTTCATGACGTTCGAGAGCAACTTCAGAGATAAGTGATTTCAAAAATATTTCAAAGGTACGAGATCAAATTCCAACCTCACTGGCCTAAGAGCCCTAGACCCTGGGTAGAGAGCTGACCCTGCCACTTGTCAGCTGCCTGACCTTGGGCACGGCACTTCACCTTCCTGTGCCTCAGTTTCCTCGGCTGTTAAGTGGGGCTAAGAAGCCTCTCCCCGGCAGGGTCATTGTAAGGTCCCGTTAGAGAATCCCCTCTGCTGCTTTGGGACCGCACAGGTGCAAGAGGTGCCCACGGCCCCTCTTCCAAGCATCTGGGCTCTTGGGGCGGGCCAGGTAGATGGATGAGCAACCCCGCGGCCCACCGAGCTCTGCCGCCTGCAGAGCCAGAGCGAGAGAGGGGCTCGCACCTGCGGGGGGCGTCCCTGTGACCCAGGGTGTTGAGCCCGGAGCGAGGCTCTCTTGCTGCCCGCACGCTCTGCGGGAGGGCTAGGCGCGGGGAGCGGCCGAGGGAAGCCCGGCTGACCCAGGTCCAGCGGGCGGGGCGGGGCAGAGGGCCCCGGGGGCCCGAAGGAGGCAGGCACTACCGGCCCCCAGGGCCTCGCCGAGCCGCGGAGATGATGCGGGGAAGGAGCAGGGCAAAGGAGCAACGCCCCCGCGTGCCACGCCGCGCGTTCCCCGCGGGCCTGGCGGAGGCGCTCACTCACCTGAGGCGCGGGCAACCGCCGTCAGTGCAGCTGCAGCAGCGGCGGCGGCAAGAGGGGCGGGGGAGGCGATGCGGTCGCGCAGGCGTGCCGGAGGCGCCTGGGCCGCGCATGCGTGATGCACTCGCCCGCCTCTGGAACTACCGAGAAGATGGTAGCTGAGCCTGGAGAGGCTGGCGGCGCCATGTTTGATGTAGTTTTTCTTGCTGCGGAGTTACCTCAGAGAAGAATCTTAGATTTTCGAGGTGCTGGAGGGAGGGCCATGGAGCGCTGCGTCTGGAGCGCTTCCCTCCCTTCTCTAAGTCGCGTCCTTATGAAGCCCGTAAGAGCTCTTGGAGGGTATGGCGTACTCCTTTTAAGGTGACCTAGAGCCGTACCCAAGGTCACGGGGCGCCTAGCACAGTGCCGGCACGTTGAAAGAGCTTAACGAATTTTTGGTGAATGAACATAGTAATTTAAGAACTAGAGTCCAAAACTCAGGGCTCCGAATTATCTGTCCTCTATTGTATCACCCCTGTCAGCCAAGTCATCTACTTTCTTGATTGCAACATTAGAAATGGAATTTATTTTCCCCAGAATGATTGCAGATACTAAACTTAATGACCCAACAATTTAAATAACACCAAAATGTACAGGACACACTCTATTCCTCTAGTTTATTTTTATTTTTTTTAGTATTAAGTATCACTGATTAATTTTTTTTTTTTTTTTTTTTTTTGAGATGGATTACAGGCGTGAGTCACCGCGCCCGGCCCCTCCCCGCCTTTTTTTTTTTTTTAAACAGTGTCTCCTGTCGCCAGACCCGAGTGCTGTGGCGCCATCTCGGCTCACTGCAACCTCCACCTCCTGGGTTCAAGCGATTCTCCTGACTCAGCCTCCTACTCTGGTGTAGCTGGGACTACAGGCACGCCACCACGCCCGGGTAATTTTTGTATTTTTTTTTTCCAGTACTGACGGGGTTTCACCATGTTGGCAAAGCTGGTCTTAAACCCCTGACCTCAAGTGATCAGCTCTCTTCAGCCTCCCAAAATGCTGGGATTACAGGCATGAGCCACTGCACCCAGCCACTAAAAGTGTATTATTTTAAATACGGCAAATTGAACAAATAAATATTACCAAACATCTCAGAAGATAGGAATAATATTGTTGTTCATCAAGCACAATTCCTGAACCAAATTTAGTTGGAGGGAAAACTAACATTAATTAACCACAGCCATTTATTATATGGCTTATGTTAACATTTACTGAATTCAAATTAGTTCTAGTTCACCATCCACTATTTATCCGTATGTCCTTGGTAAGACTATTAAAGGCTCGCCGGGCGCGGTGGCTCAAGCCTGTAATCCCAGGACTTTGGGAGGCCAAGGTGGGTGGATCACGAGATCAAGAAATCGAGACCATCCTGGTCAACATGGTGAAACCCCGTCTCTACTAAAAATACAAAAATTAGCTGGGCATGGTGGTGCACGCCTGTAGTCCCAGCTACTCAGGAGGCTGAGGCAGGAGAATTGCTTGAACCCAGGAGACGGAGGTTGCGGCATTGCACTCCAGCCTGGATAACAAGAGTGAAACTCCGCCTCAAAAAAAAAAAAAAAAAAAAAAGACTATTAAAGGCTCTCCATGCAGGAGTTACTCGTCTATAGTCACACACACAGCAATAGAATTTACAAGGTTGTAGCAAAGACAATAATAATATGTATGTATGTAAAATGCTTAGAGCTCAGTAAGTATTATTTGTCTTTGTTGTATCCTGTTTTGCTGTTGAAGACACAAAACACACTTCTTGAGTTTGAAAAAATCCTTATAAGCAAAAAATGCATACAATGTAATAAATGAAATGGGGGAGGGTATAATCATCTTTAGAGAGAGACTCTATCCCCATTTTACAGATGAGGAAATTGAGGATAAAATGAAAATTCACTCCAACTCTCTCCATTCTACTACTCTCCTTATGAAAGAGTAGGGAATTAAGAGCATTTCTCTGATTCTTGAGATATAGATAGATAATGACCATAGACGAGGGTCTCACTATGTTCCCCAGGCTGCTCTAGAATTCTTGGACTCATGCAATCCTCCTGCCTAGGCCTCCCAAAGTTCTGGGATTATAGGCATGAGTCACTGTGTCCTTCCTTCTCCTGATTCTTAAATGTTGGCTTTCCATGAGGTCATCCAAACTTTCCCTTCTTGCTTTACTCTGGACTATATCATTCATTCTCAAATCATCAATAACTAGACATCAGCAACTCTCCAATGTTATCTCCAGTCCAGATTTCTCCACCCAGTTTTCCACCTGCATTATTTGATACACCAGTTGATTTCTCCATTTGGTATCCCAAATAGAACTAGCTTTCCCGTCTCTAACTGCTCCATCATCTACCCATTGTTCAAGCTTTATCCTCTGCAGCATACTGACACCACTAAACTTTTATATTATTTAATCCTTATAGCATCCCTGTAATACAGGTTCTATCATTCTCTCAACCTTTGAGATAAGAGATGAAAAAACTTTCTCAGCCACAGTTAATAAGTGGCAGAGTTAGGTTTTTAACACCTAGGTTACACGCTTATGTTCCGGACACTGTGAGCAACACAAGCAGTCCCACCCCACTCATCCACTGCCAACACCCAGCACAAGCTGTCATTTCTCACCTAGACTCCTGCAATAACCTAGCTGGTCTCTCACACCCACACCTTGCTTGCTTCTGTCTTTTCCCCACACCACAACTAATCTTTTAAAAATAAAGTTCCGATCCTCTTGCCCTTTCTTGAAGCCTTCTAATGACTTTCAATTATACTTGTCTCAGGCCAGTCTTCTACTGGTGCCCAGCACTCCTGCTCTATTTTTTTTTCTAGTGTCCCAGAATGCTCCACTCTCCTTCTCAAGCCTTGAAAATTGCTTCTCCTTTTGCCTGAAATACTTGCCCCATTTAACTCCTTCATCTTTCCCAAGTCAGCTAAAATATCTCTTCCGCAGTTCTCTCTTGTTCCTTGTGTCTTCAGCAAACTGAGCATCATGAGGGAGAACCCATGTTTTTGCTCTTTGCCCGCTCCTCCAATCCTAGAACTGTGTGTGGCATATGTAGATACTTGGTAAATACATAAAGGAATAAAGAACAAATGTAGGTCAAAGCAAGGAGATGTCGTTTCTCATTAACTGGCGCTTGTGCCAAGCTTTAAGACTTAAGATTATGACTGGGTGTTTAACTGAAATGGGATTTGTCCCTTTAGTGGGATCAGAGAATAAGAAACATTTTATTTTGGCTGAGCACGGTGGCTCACACTTGCAATCTCAGTATTTTGGGAGGCTGAGGTAGGTGGATACCTTGAGTCCAGTTCGAGACCAGCCTGGGCAACATGGAGAAACCCTGTTCCTACAAAACTACAAAAGTTAGGCCAGGCACTGTGGCTTATGCCGGTAATCCCAGCAAGATGGGTGGATCACCTGAATTCAGGAGTCCAAGACGAGCCTGGCCAACATGGTAAAACCCCATCCCTAGTAAAAATACAAAAATTAGCTGGGCGTTGTGATGCATGCCTGTAGTCCCAGCTACTCAGGAAGAGGCTGAGGCAAGGGAGTCACTTAAACCTAGGAGGTAGAAGTTGCAGTGAGCCGAGATGGTGCCACTGAACTTCAATCTGGGTGACGGAGACTGTCTCAAAAAAAAAAAAAAAAATTACTCAATATGGTGGTACACACCTGTAGTACCAGTTGCTTGGGAGGCTGAGGTGGGAGAAGTGCTTGAGCCCATGAGGTCGAGGGTCCAGTAAGCCATGAGCGTGCCATGGCACTACTGCCTAGATTTATTTATTGAGACAGGGTCTTGCTGTTATCCAGGCTGCAGCACAGTGGCACAATCATAGCTCATAGCAGCCTTGAACTCCTGAGCTCAAGGTATCTTCCCTGCTCAGCCTCCTGAGTAGCTGGGACTACAGGCATGAGGACTACAGGCACGCACCATCAAGCCTGGCTAATTTTCAATTTTTTTTGGAGGGATGGGGGTCTCACCATCTTGCCTAGGCTGATCTTGAACTCCTAGCCTCAAGTGATCTTTCTACCTTGGTCTCCCAAAATGCTGCATTACAGGTGTGAGCCACCATACCTGGCCAGAATAAGACACATAATAAGCAATAAATTAGATGGTGGGTTTTTTGTGTGTGTGCCTTTTTTTTTTTTTTTTTTTTTGGAGATAGGATCTCACTCTGTTGCCCAGGCTGGTATGTTACTACAGGCACACATCACCACACCCAGCTAACTTTTTATACTTTTTGTAGAGACAGGATTTCACCTGGCTGGAGTTGTATGATCATGTCCTAATTCAGCCTTGGCCTTCCAGGCTCAATTGATCCTCTCACCTCAGCCTCCCAAGTAGCTTGAACTACAGGTATGCACCACCACTCTCAGCTAATCTTTGCATTTTCTGTACATAGGGTTTTGCCATGCTGCCCATGGCTGGTCTCAAACTCCTGGGCTCAAGCAACCCACTCACCTCTGCCTTCCAAAGTGCCTGGCCTAGTTGGTATTCTACTGTTAATTGATGCACAGGTGTATCTCAACACTACTGCTCACTTCAGCATCTTAGCAAAGAATCCTATTTCCTCCTTTTTTTTTTTGAGATGGGGTCTCGCTTTTTTGCCCAGACTAGAGTGCAGTGGTGCTACCTTGGCTTACTGAAAGCTCTGCCTTCCAGATTCAAGCGATTCTCCTGCCTCAGTCTCCCAAGTAGCTGGGATTACAGGTGTATGCCCCCACACATGGCTAATTTTTTATATTTTTATTAGATATAGGAATTCACCATGTTGGCCAGGCTGGTCTCAGACTCCTGACTTCAAGTGATCTACCTGCTTCAGCCTCCCAAAGTGCTGGGATTACAGGCGTGAGCCACCATGCCTGCCTGACCTCCCTGTCTTTTTAATTGTTTATACACCCAAAACATAGACAAAGACAAGGGAAATCTTTTAATTATGTGAAATTTTACAATACAGTTTATAAACAAATAGAACAATGAATAATAGTACTTAGGCCTTTCTTGTCATGAATCCAGGATTTAGGTCAACTCAGTACTAAAAACTGAAGCACACTACATACAACAGGACATAGAGAATCAGTGGTATTCCTTCAAATTGGACATCTTGTGAAGTGATATAGGTATCCCAATGATGCAAATAATGCTCATAACTTTTTTCTTTTCTTTTTTTTTTTTTTTTTTACCATTTTTAATTTTTTTTGAGATGGAGTCTCACTGTGTCACCCAGGCTGAAATGCAGTGGTGCAATTTCAGCTCACTGCAACCTCCACCTCCTGGGTTCAAGCAATTCTACTGCCTCAGCCTCCCGAGTAGCTGGGACTACAGGTATCCGCCACCATACCCAGCTAATTTTTGTACTTTTAGTAGAGATGGGGTTTCTCCATGTTGGTCAGTCTGGTTTCGAACTCCTGATCTCAGATGATCAGCCTGCCTTAGCTTCCCAAAGTGCTGGGATACAGGCGTGAGCAACCTCACCCAACAATTTTTTTTTTTAAGACAGGATCAATTAGCCTGGTGGTAGGTGCCTGTAATCCCAGCTACTCAGGAGGCTGAGGGAGGAGAATTGCTTGAACCCAGGAGGCGGAAGTTGCAGTGAGCCAAGATCGCGCCATTGCACTCCAGCCTAGGCAACAAAAGCAAAACTCCATCTCAAAAAATAAAGACAGGGTCTAACTCTGTCACTCAAGCTGCAGTGCAGTGGTGCAATCAGGGCTCACTGCAGCCTCAACCTCCTGGGCTCAAGCAATCCTCCACCTCAGCCTTTTGAGTAGCTGGCACTATAGGCACATGTCACCACACCCAGCTTTTTGTATTTTTGTAGAGACAGGGTTTCACCTTATTTCCCAGACTGGTCTTGAACTTCTAGGCTCAAGCAATCCACCCGCCTCAAGCAATCCACCCGCCTCAGCCTCCAAAAGTGCTAGGATTACAGACGTGAGCCATTGCACCCAGCCTCAAAACTCTTCTACCTAAAATCACCTTCAGAGCCATACTAGAAAATTAGTATCATTCCTTTACAACCAGAATCTAACTTGGCCACTAAAATGTTTCCTTAGACTTTGTCCTAAATGACTTAGATTTTTCAAAACCTGAAAAACATCTTTACAGGATAAGGATAAAAGAATGGGTCACTGGATCTGAAGATGATTTCAAAAAAGAAGGTTAAACTTTCAAGCATTTTGCACATTGCTGTGAAAAACATCTATACAATGTTCATTTGGATGCATACATTCCATCACTTTTTGAAAAAAGTCAAAGTGCTCTACAGTCAGTCCTGCCAGTTATCTTCAAAGGCAACAGAGCAGAAATCACATAGTCACCACGTTCTGGGGCACTTTTCCCATTCCTCTCCTGTCGGGCACCTTGTGGCAGAAAAGCTCATAAGGTCACTGACAAGATTCAGATCCATGTGTGGCAGGTGGGTTCTGTAGCTGAAGCTTGAGCAGTTTTCGAGCTGGTGAGGGATCTAATTGTTGCATGCTTCTCTTCCCTGCAGAGAAAAGAGGTCAAAAAATAAATTTCAACTGAATTAACATACCAATAATGTTGAAATTAACATTTCAACATTTATTGAAAACTTAATGTATGGACACTGTGCTAGACATGGAAGGGCATTACAAAGACAAATAAGAGTCTCCGGCCTCAAGGAGATGACAATCTGGTAAGAAAGTCAGGCACAGCTGGGCATGGTGGCTCATGCCTGTAATCCCAGCACTCTGGGAGGCCAAGGTCGGGGGATAGATCGCTTGAGTCCAGGAGTTTGAGACTATCCTGGGCAACACAGTAAGACTTTGTCTCAGGCCAGGCGCAGTGGCTCAAGCCTGTAATCCCAGCACTTTGGGAGGCTGAGGCGGGTGGATCACGAGGTCAAGAGATCGAGACCATCCTGGTCAACATGGTGAAACTCCGTCTCTATTAAAAATACAAAAAAAAAAGCCGGGCGCGGTGGCTCAAGCCTGTAATCCCAGCACTTTGGGAGGCCGAGGCGGGTGGATCACGAGGTCAAGAGATCGAGACCATCCTGGTCAACATGGTGAAACCCCGTCTCTACTAAAAACACAAAAAATTAGCTGGGCATGGTGGCTCGTGCCTGTAATCCCAGCTACTCAGGAGGCTGAGGCAGGAGAATTGCCTGAACCCAGGAGGCAGAGGTTGCGGTGAGCCGAGATCGCGCCATTGCACTCCAGCCTGGGTAACAAGAGCAAAACTCCGTCTCAAAAAAAAAAAAAAAATACAAAAAAAGTAGCTGGGCGTGGTGGTGCATGCCTGTAATCCCAGCTACTCAGGAGGCTGAGGCAGGAGAATTGCCTGAACCCAGGAGGTGGAGGTTGCGGTGAGCCGAGATCACGCCATTGCACTCCAGCCTGGGTAACAAGAGTGAAACTCCGTCTCAAAAAAAAAGACTTTGTCTCTACAAAAAGTTAAAAAATTAGCCTAGCATGGTCCTGGCATGATCCTCCAGCTACATGGGAGGCAAGAGGATCACCTGGGAGCCTAGAACATTGAGGCTGCAATAAGTCATGACTGCACCCCTGTACTCCAGCCTGGGTGACAGAGCAAAACCCCATCTCAAAAAAAAAAGGGTGGCTCATGTCTGTAATCCCTACACTCTGGAAGGCCAAACTTGGCGATCACTTGTAGACTGGAGTTCAAGACCAGCCTGACCAATGTGGTGAAACCCCATCTCTACTAAAAATACAAAAATTGCCAGGCATGGTGGCACATGCCTGTAATCCCAGCTACTTGGGAGGCTGAGGTGGGAAAATCTCTTGAACTCAGGAGGCAGAGGTTACAGTGAGCCAAGATCATGCCACCATACTCTAGCCTGGGTGACAGAGTGAGACTGTCTCAAAAAAAAGAAAGAAAGAAAAAAAGCCAGCCACCACTATAATCACAATACAGTGTGATCAATAAGATGGTCAAGTGTAGTGGCTCACACTTATAATCCCAGCACTCTAGGAGGCCAAGGCAGGAGGATCACTTGAGCCCAAGAGTTGAAGACCAACCTGGATAACACAGGGAAACCCCATCTCTACAAAAAAATTTAAAATGTAGCTGGGTGTGGTGGTGCACAATTATAGTCCCAGCTACTCTGGGAGCCCGAGGTCAAAGGATTGCTTGAGCCTACCAGGTTGAGGCTGCAGTGAGCTGTGCAGTCATTGCACCGCTGCACTCCAACCTGGATGACAGAGCGAGAGTGAGACTTTGCCTTAAAAAAGAAGAAAGAGGCCGGGTGCGGTGGCTCAAGCCTGTAATCCCAGCACTTTGGGAGGCCGAGGCAGGTAGATCACAAGGTCAAGAGATCGAGACCATCCTGGTCAACATGGTGAAACGCCGTCTCTACTAAAAATACAAAAAATTAGCTGGGCTTGGTGGCTTGTGCCTGTAATCCCAGCTACTCAGGAGGCTGAGGCAGGAGAATTGCCTGAACCCAGGAGGCGGAGGTTGCGGTGAGCCGAGATCGCTCCATTGCACTCCAGCCTGGGTAACAAGAGTGAAACTCCGTCTCAAAAAAAAAAAAGAAGAAAGAAAATTAAGATACGCATAGCAAATAATTTAGGGATGGGAGGAGACCAGGAAAAGCTATAGCGGAGTAATGTCAGTGTCAGTTAGTGGATTCTTTTTTTTTGTTTTGTTTTGTTTTTGAGATGGAGTTTCACTCTTTTTACCGAGGCTGGAGTGCAATGGTGTGATCTCGGCTCACCGCAACCTCCGCCTCCTGGGTTCAGGCAATTCTCCTGCCTCAGCCTCCTGAGTAGCTGGGATTACAGGCACGCGCAACCATGCCCAGCTAATGTTTTGTATTTTTAGTTGAGACGGCGTTTCACCATGTTGACCAGGATGGTCTCGATCTCTTGACCTCGTGATCCACCCACCTCGGCCTCCCAAAGTGCTGGGATTACAGGCTTGAGCCACCGCACCCGGCCAGTTAGTGGATTCTTGAGAAATAAAGAGGGAAAAAGCAACGGGTGGGTATCCTAAGTCTTGGATTTACAAAAGCAACACAATATTTCATGGGGATTTAATTCTCAGTTTACTGTGCTTCTGTAGAATTTCCATCTAGAAATTCCCTATCAACTCTGAGTACCCATAGCATACTACTTATTGTGGGGAGAAAAACAAATCACCATGCCTAGGTCTTACCCTCTTAGACCATGGGCTCTGAAGGGCAGTTTTTACCCCAAAGGCTATTAGATGGAAAAGAGCCCAAACTGGTCCCCTCAAGGGACAAGCTTACCAAGCTGTACTGACACCTTCTGGAAGCACTGGGTACTTTCATCCATAAAGGCCTGCAGCTCTTTCACTGATCCTTGCAGCTCATCCACCTGTAGAAAAAAGACAGCTGTGAGCTGGAAGGGTCCATGGCTTCTTGGATGTTCCTCAAACCCATGAAGCAAGCTCTTGCTCAGGAGCTTTGGGCTTGCTGTTCTTTCAGCCTGGAATGCTTATGCCAGATATTCTGTTTGTTCCTCCAAAGCCACTCTGCATTCTTTTCCAGGCTGCTCTATGCTCCATGAGGCTGACCCATGTCCCATGTAACCTCTACCAACAGAAGGCCTAAGTGTGAAGGAGCTGAATGAGTTATCTTGAGTTGGCTCTCTCAATTCAGCTAACTATGTGACTTTCTCCCATTAGGTGCTACAGTAACTGCTACTCCTTCCTCACTTTCAGGCCTACGGAAAGAAAGAACTCTGATGCCTATAAGCCCCAGGTTACTCCACTAAACCTTGGTTCTCCAATACCCATACCTTTCTATTTAGCCTTTTTGAAAATAAACTCTCCTTGAATTACCCTTTCGAATGCCCTCTGCTTGGTGTTAATACTTGGATTGACACAATACTGTTCCCCCAAATGTTCTCATGGCTCATTTCCTTCAAGTCTCTGTTAAAATGGTACCTCAGAGAGGCTTTCAATAACCTTACTATAGGCCAGGCGCGGTGGCTCATGCCTGTAATCCCAGCACTTTGGGAGGCTGAGGTGGGCAGATCACAAGGTCAGGAGTTCGAGACCAGCCTGGCCAACACGGTGAAACCCCATCTGTACTAAAAATACAAAAATTAGCCAGGCACGGTGGCTCAAGCCTGTAATCCCAGCACTTTGGGAGGCCGAGGCGGGTGGATCACGAGGTCAAGAGATCGAGACCATCCTGGTCAACATGGTGAAACCCCGTCTCTACTAAAAATACAAAAAATTAGCTGGGCATGGTGGCGCGTGCCTGTAATCCCAGCTACTCAGAAGGCTGAGGCAAGAGAATTGCCTGAACCCAGGAGGCGGAGGTTGCGGTGAGCCGAGATCGCACCATTGCACTCCAGCCTGGGTAACAAGAGCGAAACTCCACCTCAAAAAAAAAAAAAAAAAAAAAAAAAAAATTAGCTGGGTGTGGTGGTGGGGCCTGTAGTCCCAGCTACTTGGGAAGCTGAGGCGGGAGTATCACTTGAACCCAGGAGGCGGAGGTTGTAGTGAACTGAGATTGCACCACTGCACTTTTTTTTTTTTGAGTGACAGAGCAAGACTCCGCCTCAAAATAAATAAATAAATAAATAGCCTTGCTATATAAAATAGCAACCCACCAACCTCCCTGTACTGTCTATCCCTCTTACCCTACTTCATTAGCATTTACCACCATATATTCATTTATTATTTTTTAATTGTCTCTCCATGTTTTCCCAAGGTAAACTTGAATATACTTATTCAACTTACACTTAACATATATTCTCTAGGTCTTTTAATTTCCAAGGATTATAAGGTGGCAAAGCTGGATAACTCAACCAAATAAACATGAGCCCACTTACCACCAACTCCATACAATCAAAGACTTTGCTCTGGTTCTGTAATATTTTCTGGTAGTCAGGCTTTGTATTAAGAACTTCATTCTGAGAAGACCCAAGATATGTCATAGGTTCCACTTTGACCTCAGTAATTTTCGCCTCAGTTGATCCTCTAAAAACAAAACAAAAGAGCTTTCAAGCAATTTTGTAATCATTTTCTGAAAGAGATACCAAAGATTACCCTATAAAGCTTAATCAATATTTCTCCATTCTACCCTAGTTACAGGCTCTCTTCTTAACAAGAAGTTCTGAAACAATTATCTAGTATTTGTTTTTATAACTCCAGACTCCAGAAAATGCTGGAAATTTCCGGTCAGTTGAATCCACCTAATAGTAAGGTCCATATACCAGCAGGACTATACTTGGGAGAGAGTGAAGCCAAAGCTTGCTATCCTAAAGTCGGTGCCTACAATTGTTTACCAAAATATGTTGGCCTACCTGAATTATTTAAAATAAGCAAACAGGACTGAGAGCTCATGAAAACTGATGATGACCCTTTAATAACAACAATTTACTGAGTGCTAAGTAGGTATCAGATACTGCTGGGCACTTGCCATTTAACCTCATTTGACACTCAAAATAACTCAATAAGGAAGGTACTAATATCATCCCCATTTTCAAATGAGGAACCTCAGGCTCATTCAAGACTAAGTGACTTGCCCAAGGTCACAAACTAAGGAAAGTTAGAGTTTGAACAGACAAAGTCTGCTTCCAGAACCATTCCTCTTAACCTACAAACTTTGACACAAAGTTTTTATTCTAAACTGGCATCTTATCTATTATCTATCTTCATAAATAGAATATGTAAGAAGTGAATAAAGTAATTGATAACCATCATTACCTGGATTGGGGAAGTTTTTCCAAACCATGTTCCTCAAAGCCCCCCTCTACTGAGAGGCCACTTTTGCAATTAGGGTTTTGACTAACATTTTACAGTTGGGATTCTAGCTAAGATTCTATTTCGAAAAAAAGCTTAAAATCACTGGCTTAAATTAGTTCAACTAAATCAAAATCTAGCATTTTCTGGCCAGGTGCAGTGACTTACGCCTGTAATCTCAGCACTCTGGGAGGCCAAGATGGGCAGATCACTTGAGGCCAGTAGTTCATGACCAGCCTGGCCAACATAGCGAAACTCTGTCTCTACTAAAAATACAAAAATTAGCCAGGTATGGTGGAGCATGCCTGTAATCCCAGCTATTCAGGAGGCTGAGGCTGGAGAATTGCTTGAATCCAGGAGGTGGCGTTGCAATGAGCCGAGATTGCACCACTGCACTCCAGCCTGGGTGACAGATAAAACAAACAAACAAACAAAAAACAACTAGCCCAGCCTGGCCAACATGGTGAAATCCTATCTCTACTAAGAATACAAAAATTAGCCAGGTGTGGTGGCATCTGCTTGTAATCCTAGCTACTAAGGAGGCTGAGGCAGGAGAATTGCTTGAACCCAGGAAGTGGAGTTTTGTAGAGAGCTGAAATGGTGCAACAGAGTGAGACTCTGGCTCAAAAAAAAAAAAAAATCACCTAACATTTCCCCACTTTTCCTCTACCTTCAAGACTCAAAGAACCTCTCCTTCCTCACATCCTCCTCCATCACCCCCTTTCATGTCTTTCAATCTCCAAGAAGGCCCTAGCCAAGGATACCCCCCAAACCTGCAGCTTAAAGGCCATGTGCTCACTGAAGCCTCTTGATTACTGTTCTTGGCCCAGCCCCAGGCTGCCAGGTACAAGGTAGAGATGTGCTTGTCTCCCCCAGGATATGAAATGGTAGCTAAGGACACAGAACAGAATCAATTGTGTTCCTGTACTGAAAATAGTGACACCAACTCCTCTTCCTCTCACTCACCATTTATGGTCAGAGAGTGCTAATCCACACTACAGAATTTGATGAGCTTATTGGCCTGTGAGAAAGGATTCATCTTTCAATTTGTGCTAATAGAACTGAAATAAACAGTAATCAAACTCCATAGGTTTTTAAAGATAGTTTTTACAGTTCATAGAACCAACCTGGACAACATCTCTTCAGCCTCCTGCTGGTAGTGCTGCAAGAGCTTATCCCAAGTCTGACGTTCTAAAGAAAATCTATAGAATCAGGAAAAAGAAATTCAGTTATTTTTTATAATCTTATTCTGAATCACTTAGGGTAACAATAGGTATGTTATATGTATAATCTGGTTATAAAATATGAGTTGAAATGTCATTAAAGAATTAGAAAGCATGACCGATTCAGAGGATATTAATTTAATCATATCAAACTTGAAATCTTCAAGTCAAATTAATATTTGTATTTCCCTAGACTCCATTCTATGAAATTGATCAATAGTAGAGTCCATAAAATTCTAAATATGCAGCCTTCTAACTTCTAGTATTGGTGCACTAATGCTGACTCTCTAAGTACAATGCTTATTATTCATTTTTTCCAAGTTCAGTTAATTTCTCCAGATGGGAGAATGAATTTAGATTTTCTAACAAAGGTTCACTCGTTTTCACTTACTTTGTTATGTACTCCTTCATCTCAGCCACAGATGCTTCCAGAGAAATATCTGATGCTTTTCTGGAAAACAGAGAGGACTATGACACAAATCTTTCAAGAAGCATTTGCTTTAATATAATCGCCTACAAATATTTTTATTTATTTTTGAAATGGAGACTCGCTCTGTCACCTAGGCTGGAGTGCAGTGGTGCAGTCTTGGCTTACTGCAACTCCTGCCTCCTGGGTTCAAGCAATTCTCCTGCCTCAGCCTCCTGAGCAGCTGGGACTACAGGTGGCCGTCAGCAAGCCTTGCTAATTTTTTTTTTCTTTGCGAGATGGAGTCTTGCTCTGTTGCCCAGGCTGGAGTACAGTGGCGTGATTGCAGCTCACTGCAACCTCTGCCTCCCAGGTTCAAGCTATTCTCTTGACTCAGCCTCCCAAGTAATCTGGGATTACAGGCACATGCCACCATGCCCAGCTAATTTTTATATAGTTTTTAGTAGAGACGGGGTTTCACCAGGTTGACCAGGATGGTCTTGAACTCCCAACCTCATGATCCACCTGCCTCAGCCTCCCAAAATGTTAGGATTATAGGCGTCAGCCACCACAACTGGCACCAGCTAATTTTTGTGTTTTTAGTAAAGATAGAGTTTCACTATGTTGGCTAGGCTGATCTCAAACTCCTGACTTCATGATCTGCCCACCTCGGCCTCTCAAAGTGCTAGGATTACAGGCATGAGCCACCACACCTGGCCGTTTATTTATTTATTTTTAGTAGAGATAGAGTCTTGTCATGCTGCCCAGATCTCAAACTGCTGGGCTTAAGTGATCCTCCCACCTTGGCCTCCCAAAATGCTGGGATTACAGGTGGGAGCCACTATGCCTAGACTTCTTACATAATTTTAATATTTCAAAAAATACTTAATGTTGGACTCTATTTCACTTTTGCACTAGGTTAATAGCTTTCTAAGTGGTCTCTTTATATTCTATTTCTCTTATCAATTCCAATTCACATCATGGCCAGATTAACCTTTCTTTGCTTAAAAACTCTGTGACTCTTTTGCATATAGAAGAAAAGTCAAAACTCCTTAACCTGGCACTGAAGGCTCTCTGTGTTCTGGCACCACCTAGCTTACCAACTTTGATTCCTACTGTTACCCAATGGCTTAAGTGAGTTGGGTAATTAATTCTAATGGAAAAGAAGCAGGCACTGAAAATGCCAAAATATTGCATATGTACTTGGTATTCTACCTTGCAAAAACAAATTAGTTGGGCCACCACTCACGTTTTTTTTCTATCAAAACCTGAGACACAAAACCATTTCTACCTCTGGCTAAGAATCATTAGCCTATGCTAAAATATACTGCATTAAAAAGAAGCTGGGTGTGGTGGCTCATGCCTGTAATCCCAGAACTCTGGGAGGCCAAGGCAGGTGGATTGCCTAAGGACAGGAGTTCGAGAACCAGCCTAGACAATATGATGAAACCCTGTCTCTACTAAAAATTCAAAAATTAGCTGGGTGTGGTGGCAGGCATCTGTAATCCCAGCTACTCAGGGGGCTGAGGCAGGAGAACCACTTCAACTCGGGAGGCAGAGGTTGCAGTGAGTTGAGATTATACCATTGCATTCCAGCCTGGGTGACAAGAGCAAAACAGAACAAAAAAAAGAGATGCTACTTTAAGCTAAAATATTTTTCATTTCCTGACTAGCAATGTCAATCCTAAGGACCTCTGTGAAGCCAAAACTTAAAGTTTATGATGTAAACCCAAGTAAAGTGACTTGTTGCTGGGTGGAAATTAGGAGGTACAGGATGTTAGCCTCACCCCTGCAGAGGAAGTACCAGTTTTAGGGGTAGGAGTTTTAAATTTCTGCTAATATTCAAGAGCCATGTTCTTTGGCTGTTGGCAAGCTAGCAAAGATCTGAATTATGTTTCTCCCCTCATCGTTTCATAGCTGGTTCCTTCTCACCATTCAGATCTTACAGGTTTCAACTTCAAGGTCAAATCATTAGAGGTCTTCTCTGAACACTCTAGTTAAAATTGCCCACCCCCTCAAGTCACTATTATATTTACTGACCTAGATTATCACTATCTGAAATCATTACTTCCTATATATTTGTTTGATTGTGTCTTCTATTATAATGTATGACAAAAGAGACCTTGCTTATTTGTCATTATATCCTCAGCATCTACAAGAGCCTGGTACATAAGATGCTGAAACAACTGGGCACTGGGGCTCATGCCTGTAATGCTAGCACTTTGGGAGGCAGAGAGGCAGGAGGATCACTTGAGCCCAGGAGTTCTAAATGCCTGGGAAACAGGGAAACTCCACCTTTAAAATTAAAAATAGGCTAGCATGGTGGCTCATGTCTGTAATCCCAGCACTTTGGGAGGCAAAGGTGGGTGGATCACCTCAGGTCAGAAGTTCCAGACCAGCCTGGCCTATATGGTGAAACCTGTCTCTACAAAAATACAAAAAAATTAGCTGGGTGTGGTGGAAGGCACCTGTAATCCCAGCTACTCAGCTGTAATCCCAACTACAGGTGCCTGGAATCCCATCAATTTGGGAGGCTGAGGCAGTCGGATCACTTGAGGTCAGGAGTTCAAGACTAGCCTGGCCAATACGGTGAAACCCTGTCTCTACTAAAAAAAAAAAATACAAAAATTAGCTGGGTATGGTGTTGGGCATCTCTAATCCCAGCTGCTTGGGAGGCTGAGGCAGGAGAATTGCTTAGACGCAGGAGACGGAAGTTGCAGTGAGCCAAGATTGCGCCACTTCACTCAAGTCTGTGCAACAGAGCGAGACTCTATCTCAAAAAAAAAAAATAACAAAAAAATAAATAGGTTGAGTGTGGGACTCACATCTATAATCCCAGTGCTTTGGGAAGCCGAGTGGGGTGGATCACTTGAGGTCAAGAGTCAGGAGTCATTAGACCCAGCATAGTGAAACCCCATCTCTACTAAAAATACAAAAAAATTAGCCAGGCGTGGTGGCGTGCACCCATAGTCCAAGCTACCTGGGAGGCTGAAGTTGCAGTAGCTGAGATCGCGCCATTGCACTCCAGCCTGGGGGACAGAGCAAGACTCCATCTCAAAAAAATTAAAAAATTAAATAAATAAATAAATAAATAAATAAAAAGAGAAGATTCTGAATAAATGTTTGCTGATGAATGAACAACTATCATATAACAGAAGTCCTAATTCAGTCACAATTTAGAACAGAAGGGGAACTGCTCTTACCCATTTGAATCTTCAAAACATTTTTGTAGAGTTCCGTCAGTTTCCAGTCTGTCTGCAAAATGTTTCAATTCTTCAGAAAGAGAAGATGCTAGACAGAACGAATTTATGTGTCATAAAATAAAGATAATATATGTTTTCACAGTGAGATGCTGACAAAGATATAATCTACTTAAGGTAGTCTCACCTTTATGGTCTGCTGTTACATGTTGGTCCTCGAGCCCACCCAAAAGTGTGGAGTTAAGTATGTAGAAAAATTTTATCTTTTTTTTTTCTGGTAGGTATAGATAAAATGAAAGACAACTCATTTTTATTTATTTATTTAGAGAGACTCTCGCTCTGTCACCTAGGCTGGAGTGTAGTGATGTGATCTCAGCTCACTACAACCTCCACCACCTGGGCTCAAGCAATACCCCCACCTCAGCCTCCCTATTTGCTGGGAAGACAGTTGGCACGACCATGTCCAGCTAATTTTTGTATTTTTTGTAGAGATGGGGTTTCCCCATGTTGCCCAGGCTTGTTTCCAACTCCTGGGCTCAAGCAATTCGCCCGCCTCAGCCTCCCAAAGTCCTGGGATTATAGGCATAAGCCACTGTGCCCAGGTTTGATGACATTTATGATAAATGTTTCTATAAATGACCTGTGAAAAAGCAGTTTAAAGTATATCTGGGGCTGGGTGCGGTGGCTCACACCTATAATTCCAGCAATTTGGGAGGCCAAGTCAGGTGAATCACTTGAGGTCTAGCGTTCAAGACCAGCCTGGGCCAAAATGATGAAACCCTGTCTCTACTAAAAATAGGAAAACTAGTCAGGAATAGTGGTGCACTCCTGTAATCTCGGCTACTCGGGAGGCTGAGGCAGGAGAATCATTTGAACCTGGGAGGCAGAGGTTGCAGTGAGCTGAGATGGTGCCACTCACTGTACTTCAACCTGGGCAAGAGTGAGACTGCCTCAAAAAAAAAAAAGCAAAAACGGTCAGGCAATAGGCAAGAAGGTAATAAGAAACACTAAAGGCAAATAAAAAATTATGGGCATGGCCGGGCATAGTGGCATGCACTTGTAGTCCTGGCTAATTAGGAGGCTAAGGCAGGAGGACTGCTTGAGCCTAGAACAGCCTGAGCAACATAGTGAAACCCCATCTCTTTATTAAAAAAAGAAAACCAAAAAGGCAAGGCAGTGTCTCACTGCCATAATTCCAGAACTTTGGGAGGCTTAGGTAGGCGTTTCACTTGAGCCTAGGAGTTCAAGACCAGCCTGGGCAACATGACAAGACCCCATCTCTACAAAAACATTTTTTTTTAGAAAGTTAGCTGGATGTGGTGGCACATGCCTGTAGTTTCAGCTACTTGGGAGGCTGAGGAGGGAGAAATGCTTGAGCCCCAGAGATCAAGGCTGCAGTGACCTGTGATCATGCCACTGCACTCCAGCCTGTGCAACAGAGCAAGACCCTGTCTCAAAAAAAAAAAAAAATTATGGGCATATAAGGTTGAAAATAGGCTAGACTTGAAGGGTCCACTACTACATTCAAGTAAAGAATGCAGAGGGAAATGGCTATGTTAATTAGTTATCAAGATAATCCTAGCATATATACTTTAAGTTGATGGTAAAATTCTGAGATAAACAATTTTAACTGGCAAGTAAACCTAAGTTCATATATTTTCTAGATCTTTTAAGTGGGTAAACTTGAGTATTTCTGACCCTGGATAACTGTATATTTACACTATTAGCAGAATAGGTACTTCCTAGAAAGTTGAATCATTAGTAATTTATTTCACAGACAAATAGCTTATTTCCTCGTAATATAAAGAGTTCCTGCTGGGTGAAGTGGCTCACACCTGTAATCCCAGCACTTTGGGAGGGTGAGGCAGGTGGATCACGAAGTCAACGGATCAAGACCATCCCGGTCAACATGCTGAAACCCTTTTTCTACTAAAAATACAAAAATTAGCCAGGCATGGTGGCATGCACCTCTAGTCCCAGCTACTCGGGAGGCTGAGGCAGGAGAATTATTTCAACCTGGGAAGCAGAGGCTGCGGTGAGCTGAGATCCCACCACTGCACTCCAGCCTGGCGACAAAGCAAGACTGCATCTCAAAAAAAAAAAAAAAGATCCTAATTTTTAAAAATGACCAGGGGCCAGGCCTTGGTGTCTCACACCTGTAATCCCAGCACTTTAGGAGGTCGAGGTGGGTGAATCACCGGAGGTTAGGAGTTCGAGACCAGCCTGGCCAAAATGGTGAAACCTCGTCTCTACTAAAATGTACAAAAATTAGCTGGGCATGGTGGCGTGCACCTACAATCCCAGCTACTGGGGAGGCTGAGTCAGGAGAATCGCTTGAACCCAGGAGGTGGAGGCTGCAGTGAACTGACATCATGCCATAGCACTCCAGCCTGGGCAACAGGGTGAGACTGTCTCAAGTCAAAACAAAACAAAACACAAAAATTATCCAGGCATGGTGGTGTGCATCAGGAGGCTCAGGCAAGAGAATTGCTTGAACCCAGGAGGCAGACATTGCAGTGAGCTGAGATTACCCCACTGCACTCCAGCCTGGGCAACAGAGTAAAACTCTGTCTTAAAAAAAAAAGGTGGGGGAGCTAGTTTTATGAGGCAGCAGCTTCTCTAAACAGGGATGCTGTGAGTGAGGTTTTGACTACCATGTCAAAGGTCACTTTTCTGTTAGCAACTTACCTTTGGCTCTAAAACTTTCAAGGCTGAAGCCCTTAGTGTCTCTTAGGAAAGGTTCAAGTTTCTGAACAGAGAACTTAATAAAGAAAAGCATTTTTAGTACAATGACCAAAAATTTCCAGGCCAGTCCTAAATTTATGTAAATTTATTATGTTTAATAAATGTGAAACTAACTAAAATTGATTTAATTTTTACACCTAAGACTCTTCATATAAACGAATAAATAGATCAAGAAAAAAAACCTTTCACTGGCTGGGCATGGTGGCTCACGCCTGTAATCCCAGCACTTTGGGAGGCCAAGGTGGGTGGACCACGAGGTCAACAGATCAAGACCATCCTGGCTAACATGGTGAAACCCTGTCTCTACTAAAAACAAACAAAAAAATGAGCCAGGCATGGTGACGCATGCCTGTAATCCCAGCTACTCGGGAGGTTGAGGCAGGAGAATTGCCTGAACCTGGCAAGTGGAGGCTGCAGTGAGCCGAGATCGCACCACTGCACTCCAGCTTGGTGGTAGAGCAAAACTGCGTCTCAAAACAAAACAAAACAAAACAAAACAAAAACCCTTTGTTGCTTGGACTATACATTTCAACTTTTAGTTCAGGAAAAAAAAAAATATTTAATTCACAAAAATTACCTGCTTATCTAAACTGATGTAAGTACCTGTTAGCCACGTAATAAGTACATAAAAATATAACTTTAAAAAAAAAACATGTAACATGGGTAATATATTGATTTAGTACATAGTCAGAACTCAAATATCCATCATAACTTAGATTCTAACCTCTACCCATTTGAAACCCCTATAATTTGCTGCCATGGGCAAATGAGACTAGTGGGGAAATCCCTGTTAGCTACTTGGTTAGCAACACCAGCACTAATGGGGTTGGTACAGTGCCTAGTCCAGAGAGAAATCAGCTAATTGGTCTAAATCTGGCTTTCAAACTAATCCTACCCAGAGAGAAACATCTTTTAATCTTAATAGGTTAATTACACGGTATTGATATCTCTTTAAGATTGTCATAATAGCAGTTAATGCCCACAAAAACATTTCCCAGTTCTAAGAATCTCACCTGGAAACTGGAAAGCAGGAGAGAGCCAAGCCGTTTGCTTTCTGCTAAATCGACACTGATAGACCTGCTGAGCTCTAACATAAAACATTGCCACATTTAAGGAGCTGGACAGTTACACAGTTAGCAACTAACAAAACTGAAAAATTTCCTCCCTCTTAATAAATCAAACTTAAGGCAAGAACAGTCTTTTCTGGTTTAAGAGACAATTCTAATTTTTCCAGGATCACTAAGGAATGAAGTTTACCCATTTGTGCATCCAAACTTAAAAAAAAAAAAAAAAAAAAAAGTTATCTGGGCACAGTGGCTCCCACCTGAGGTCAAAAGTTAGAGACCAGCCTGGACAACATGGTGAAACCTTGTCTCTACTAAAAATGCAAAAATTAGCCAGGCATGGTTCTGGGCACCTGTAATCCCAGCTACTTGGGAGGCTTAGGCAGAAAAATCGCTTGAACCTAGGAGAAAGAGGCTGTGGTGAGCCAAGATCGTGCCACTGTACTTCAGCCTGGGTGACAGAGCGGGACTCTGTCACACACACAAAAAAAAGTTATAAGAATCTTTGTATTGTTCGGGTATGGTGGCTCATGCCTATAGTCCAGCACTCTGGAATCGAGGCAACAGATCACTTGAGACTGGGAGCTGGAGACCAGCCTGGCCAACGTGGTGAAACCCCATCACTACGAAAAATAGAAAAATTAGCTGGGTGTAGTGGCAGGCACCTGTAATCTCAGCTACTCCAGAGGCTGAGGCACAAGAATCGCAAGGGCCCAGGAGGCAGAGGCTGCAGTGAGCCAAGAGGTTACAGTAGCTGGACTACAGGCATTTTTAGTAGAGACAGAATTTCTCCATGTTGGCCAGGCTGGTCTTGAGCTCCTGGCCTCAAGTGATCTGCCTGCCTTCGCCTTCCAAAGTGCTCTGATTACAGGTGTGTGCCACCGTACCTGGCCACATTTGAGTATTTTTTGTAGGACAGACACTGCAATGTGTTTTAAACACTTTGTAATGTATACTATAAGATGAGTACTATTATAAAGGTCCATTTTACAAATGGGAAAACTGCAGCTCTGAGGGGAAATGACTTATTTGCGGCCAGAAATTGGTGGAGCCAGAATTCAAACCCGAGTCTGTCACCAATATCTGTGTTTTTCCCACTATTACCACAATGCCTCTCTATAATGACCTACTAACAGCATTAATAGCTAACATTTATTGAACACTTGCTATACAGAGTATTTTGTGAAATGCTATATACCTACTTCATTAACCTTAAGGCAAGTACCCTATGAATTCCATTCTGATGACAGATAATGACACAAGCACAAAGGCTTGTGTAGGTAACTTGCCCAAGGTCATACAGTGAGTTATTACACTGAATTAGGCGAGTATTTTACATAATTATGGGACTAAATCCCTAACCAACTGCAAGATGTAGATACTGTTTTTTTAAAGTTATGTCCACTTGAAAACAATTATTACATAGCAAAGGAAGTTTGCTTTGTGAATTATGAGAGCTACATTTCTTTTTGCCCTATCTAGCTTCAGCTGGTTGCGTTTTTAAAGTTCTCTTGTCTCTTGATTGTCACTACTGTTACCAAGAAAAACAGGATACTTTCTGCCTATAACCAAGGAAACCTGGCAGGTTGCCAGAAATAACCAGGCAATAACCAATCTTATTATACTGGTGTCTTTCTGTTTATTTATTCATTTTTTTGAGTTGGAGTCTTGCTCAGCCACTCGGGCTGGAGGGCAATGGAGTATTCTTAGCTCACTGCAACCTCTGCCTCTCAGGTTCAAGCAATTCTCCTGCCTCAGCCTCCTGAGTAGCTGGGATTACAGGCGCATGCCACCACATCCAGCTAATTTTTTTTTTTTTTTTTTGAGACGGAGTTTCGCTCTTGTTACCCAGGCTGGAGTGCAATGGCGCGATCTGGGCTCACTGCAACCTCCGCCTCCTGGGTTCAGGCAATTCTCCTGCCTCAGCCTCCTGAGTAGCTGGGATTACAGGCATGTGCCACCATGCCCAGCTAATTTTTTGTATTTTTAGTAGAGACGGGTTTTCACCATGTTGACCAGGACGGTCTGGATCTCTTGACCTCATGATCCACCCGCCTCGGCCTCCCAAAGTGCTGGGATTACAGGCTTGAGCCACCGCGCCCGGCCTGATTTTTATATTTTTAGTAGAGACAGGGTTTCACCATGTTGGCCAGGCTAGTCTTGAACTCCTGACCTCAGGTGATCCGCCTGCCTCAGCCTCCCAAAATACTGGGATTACAGGCGTGAGCCACTGTGCCTGGCCGGTGTCTTTCTGTTTAAGTCTATATGCTGTGGAATAGAGCTAAAGGTAGGGCTAACTTCGGGGATGCACTAATGTTTTCTCAGCACATCTAGGGAATAAAGTACACAGGCTTTGTGGCAGCAATTTTCTGATGTGCTAAGTGGCTGTTTTTACCCAGATTTCTTTACTTGAAAATGAAATACCTTAAAACAAATCACAACAGTTTAAACATTTCAGGGCTTGTTATGTGCCAAGCACTGTGTTACGTAAGATAGGTATTATTTCACCCCCAGGTTGCTGATGAGGACCTTAAGGCAAAGAAGGTTAAGTAATTTACTCAAGATCACAGAGCTAGTATAGTCTTCCTGAAATATGGAAGCCTTAGGCCGGGCGCGGTGGCTCACGCCTGTAATCCCAGCACTTTGGGAGGCAGAGGCGGGTGGATCACGAGGTTAAGATATCGAGACCATCCTGGTCAACATGGTGAAACCCCATCTCTACTAAAAATACGAAAAATCAGCTGGGCATGGTGGCGCATGCCTGTAATCCCAGCTACTCAGGAAGCTGAGGCAGGAGAATTGCCTGAACCCAGGAGGCGGAGGTTGTGGTGAGCCGAGATCGTGCCATTGCATACTCCAGCCTGGGTAACAAGAGCGAAACTCCGTCTCAAAAAAAAAAAAAAAAAGAAAGAAATATGGAAGCCTCTCCATGTTATATTCTGTACTTAGATGCTTACTAAGATATAGTTACTATGTAAATTCACACAAAATAACACAAATCATTCTGTATAGCATCCCTAAAAACTAAGTTTTTCACTCCAGATACAAGCGCATGCACACACATGTGCGCGCACACACACAGAAAGGAAGTGGAGAGGGAGGAGAGAGGGGGTATGGAAAAAGAGACAAAAGTTTTTGTTTTTTTTTTTGAGACGGAGTTTCGCTCTTGTTACCCAGGCTGGAGTGCAATGGCACGATCTCGGCTCACCGCAACCTCCGCCTCCTGGGCTCAGGCAATTCTCCTGCCTCAGCCTCCTAAGTAGCTGGGATTACAGGCACGCGCCACCACGCCCAGCTAGTTTTTTGTATTTTTAGTAGAGACGGGGTTTCACCATGTTGACCAGGATGGTCTCGATCTCTCGACCTCGTGATCCACCCGCCTTGGCCTCCCAAAGTACTGGGATTACAGGCTTGAGCCACCGCGCCCGGCCTAGACAAAAGTTTTTTAGAGACAGGGGTCTCACTTTTTCACCCAGGATGGAGTGCAGTGGCACAGTCATAGCTCACTAATGCCTTGAATTCCTGGGCTCAAACGATCTTCTTGCCTCAGCCTGTCTCCAGTAGCTGGGACTACAGGTACATACCACCATGCCTTGCTATTTTTTAAAAAACATTTTGTAGAGATGGGGCTCGCCATCTTGCCTAGGCTGTTAAACTCCTGGGCTCAAGTGATCCTCCTGCCTTGGCCCCTCAGAGTGTTGGGATTAAAGGCATGAGGCACTGTACCTGGCCCACTCTAGATATTTGTATGTGCATCCTCCGAGATATTTCTAGTTATAAAGTTAAAATCAGTAATCAACCCAACTGCTTTCTGCTCCACTTTAGGGTATGAGACAGAAAACTGCAGGAAGAAATCTTTAAAGTGTCTCATCCTAGCAGAGGTAATTACTGAACAATTAGAAATTTATTTGTAAATAAATTTCTAATAATAAATAGTAAGCCAGGTGCATGCCTGTTGTCCCAGCTACTTGGGAGGCTGAAGTGGGAGGAATGCTTGAGCCCAGGATTTCAAATCCAGCCTGGGCAACATGGCAATATCCTGTCTCTTAAAAAAATATAGCAATAGCGCCGGGCGCGGTGGCTCAAGCCTGTAATCCCAGCACTTTGGGAGGCCGAGGCGGGTGGATCACGAGGTTGAGAGATCGAGACCATCCTGGTCAACATGGTGAAACCCCGTCTCTACTAAAAGTGCAAAAAATTAGCTGGGCATGGTGGCACGTGCCTGTAATCCCAGCTACTCAGGAGGCTGAGGCAGGAGAATTGCCTGAACCCAGGAGGCGGAGGTTGCGGTGAGCCGAGATCGCGCCATTGCACTCCAGCCTGGGTAACAAGAGCGAAACTCCGTCTGAAAAAAAAAAAAAAAAATATATATATATATATATATATATATACATATATATAGCAATAATGCTGAACATTTACTAAGTGTTTGACATAAGTACTTATAAAGTAGCAAGTCATGTCTATTCAACTACACTTTCTGCCATACCTCACTGCCTCTTATCTGAGCTGGAACCTCACTGTCCTGTGTACCCAGCACCCCACCTGTGATGCCCTGGTGAATGGGATGCAGTGACTTCCGCCGGTTCGTTTCTTTCATACTTGCTCGCCGCCAGGATTGCCTCCTGTCTTGATAACTGGCAAATTGTTCTTGAGGGGACAAATGAAGGGACCTTGAGTGAAGTCTTTCCTCGTGGCTGAGATCATAATTTTCCCCTTTTTTAGGGCTAGAGCCAAGGTGAATTCTTTCCTCTGAAACGCCTTGATGCATCTCCAGGGAGGCAGATGTTTTAGTAAACACTTCCACAGGGCTGAGACTTGATTCCAATTGATGATCATGAGTCTTAGACATCACTGGTCCTTTTTCTAGCATTTGTTATAAAAAAGTCAAAATACAAAATCAAACCCACCACAACTATTTGTGCAAAAAAGAGGAAAAAGTAAATATATGCCCGCAGATCGTGGAAACATTAAGAAAGCATCTATGCAAATAATGAGTATGTGACTCCAAATCCACCAGGAGCCAGGAAAGATTTGAGTATAGCTCAGAAGCCTGAACCCAAGGTAAGAGGTACTGAATTTCACTACAATACTTACCATTTACGATCTCTGATCTAGTCACTGAAGTCATCCTAGGTGGTGAACTCTGAAAATAGGAAAATGAAGGGATCTGTTCTTCACATTTCAGCTGCAGTCTCAGTGGGGTTTTATTGCTCCACAATAGGCCTTGTGTTTTCCAGCCTCTCTGAACTGCCCTTATCCACCTCCCTGACAAGAGAATATCAGCAGGGGCCATTATCTCCTCTTCTGAACTTCTATACACCTTGTTGGTAGAAATATTCAAATCTCCCTTAACAAACACCCTACCTTAGTTCCCAATTACTTTGTGTTTAACTAGTCCCTAATTCCATTGATGACATTATAGTCTACTTGGTCTTTCAAACCAGAAAAACCATACTATCCTTTACTTCTTATTCTTAGTTCTCCAGATCCAAAATCCTAACTGTTCTATAACCAGTCTCTAAATCTTTTCTCCATTCTCACTGTTACTAGTTTGTTTATTTATTATTTTGAGACGGGGTCTCGCTCTGTTGCCCAGTAAAGTGGCGCAATGTTGGCTGATTGCAACCTCCTCTTCCCCGGTTCAAGTGATTCTCCTGCCTCAGCCTTCCCAGTACGTGGGATTACAGGCGTGCACCACCATGCCTGGCTAATTTTTGCATTTTTGGTAGAGACAGATTTCCCCTTGTTGGCCAGGCTGGTCTCAAACTCCTGGCCTCAAGTGATCCTAGGCCTCCCAAAGTCTGGGACTACAGGCATAAGCCACCATGCCCAGCTTCACTGTTACCAGTCTAGTAAAGGTCTCATAATTTGTGTGCCCCCTCCCACTATCTAAGTCTCTCCACTAGTTTTCCTACCTCCAACTGACCCTCTCCAGTCTACTCTTTCTGTTTTTTCGGTTGTTTTTTTTTTTGAGGCGGAGTCTCACTCTGTCACCCAGGCTGGAGTGTAATGGCGCAATCTTGGCTCACTGCAACCTCCACTTCCCAGATTCAAGTGATTCTCCTGTCTCAGCCTCCTGAAGAGCTGGGATTACAAGCACTCACCACCACACCCACTAATTTTTGTATTTTTAGCAGAAACAGGGTTTCCCCTTGTTGGTCAGCCTGGTCTCGAACTCCTGACTTCAGGTGATCTGCCCTTCTCGGCCTCCCAAAGTGCTGGGATTATAGGCCTGAGCCACCGCACCCAGCCCAGTCTATTCTTTAGACAGCTGCCGCAACTCTTCCAAAGTGTACTCAACACCTTAGATAAACTAGTCCCAATCTACCCATTCCTGCTTTCTCCTCCCACTCCTATTCCCTATACTATTTCTCAATCTTCGCACATATCTGTCCTTCTACCTGTTAAACTTATACATCCTTCCCAACCTAGCTCAAATATGAAGCTTTCACATCATTTTGGCAGAATTGGTGGCTACGCCCCTTGTTCTTCTTAGCATTGGCTATAAAATTTGTTTACATGTCTGTCTCCCCAGCCAGGCTGTATTTGTATTCCTAGTGCCTGTCATGAACACCTAACTGGAAGAAGTCAGGGACGTGACTTGGGCATCTCTGCATTTTCCGTGCTATCCCTGACTCCCAGAAGAAGTCTGCCTGCGGATGGTGCGAAGTAAAAAGATATGAATATCAGGGCCGGGCGCGGTGGCTCAAGCCTGTAATCCTAGCACTTTGGGAGGTCGAGATGGATGGATCACGAGGTCAAGAGATCGAGACCATCCTGGTCAACATGGTGAAACCCTGCCTCTACTAAAAATACAAAAAATTAGCTGGGCATGGTGGCGCGTGCCTGTAATCCCAGCTACTCAGGAGGCTGAGGCAGGAGAATTGCCTGAGCCCAGGAGGCGGAGGTTGCGGTGAGCCGAGATCGCGCCATTGCACTCCAGCCTGGGTAACAAGAGCGAAACTCCGTCTCAAAAAAAAAAAAAAAAAAAAAAAAAAAAAAAAAAGATATGAATATATGCAGAGGGACAAAAAGGAAAAGATAACAAGGAGGAGTCAGTCAAGGATCTGAATCCCCCACAGTCCTTACGATTGTATTCCACAGTTCCAAGCTTGGATAATAACGACTGTATCATACAGATCCAAGTGTGATAATAATGACTGTATTACAGATCCAGGCTTGAAAAAGCGACAACTGTCAACTGTTAAACGCTTACTCTATGCCAGGACCTGTGCTATGTAAGCGCTTTACTTGCATCCTTATTCCATTTGATCCTTTCCACAACTCCGTAAGCACCATTAACTCCACTTTGCAGACAAGGGAACTGAGGTTCCTAGGGGCAAAACGCCTCAAGCTTATGACACAGCCAGCCTGGGGGCAGAAGGGAAATTCGAACCCAGGCGTGTCCCCTCGGCCCTCTGCCCAGTCCTCAACCCCGTTTCTGGAGCCTAGACCCCTGGCTCGGCAGAATGGAGTTGGTGGGGGGAGGGGGCCTGCCCTCGGGTTTCATTTCACCCGGGGGGACATCGCTGCGCCCCCGGGGGCTCCCCAGTGTCCATGGTTGGGGCCGTGGGGTGCGGCGGGTGGGGCTGGGCCAAGGGGTACGAAGCCAAAGAGTGGTGCGGCGGTGGGCGGGGCTACATCAGGGGACAAGTCTGTGACTTCCTAACCTCAGAGCGACGCCCGTCCAGTCCGGAGCCTCCGTCCCTGAAGCACAAGGCCACGGGTCGCTTTCCACAGCCCTAGGTCACTCCTGGACCCCTTGCACCGCTGCAGCCGATCTTCCCGTCGGGTCAAGTGGTTCGCCCGCCTTTACGTCATGGTCACCGCCTCCAAAACTCCCGCCAACCAAGGGCGCATGCGCGACCGTCAGCTTCTCGGGCACGCGCGCGTAGAACGCCTGTCTCCGACAACGCGCGTGCGTGCACCGCCATTCAAGGCTCCTGGCAGCCCAGCTCCTGTTTTCCAAGTCGTTCACGTCCTGTCCAGCCACCTCACCACCTCCCAACACCCCGCCCGGGAGTCCCTTTCCGGGACCTGCAAGCTTTCGTGTCCTTTTGCCCCCGACGGCCCCAGAGCCCATCCAAGATGGGGGAAACAGAGGCCCAGAGAGATTCTTGCGGAAGGAATGTAGTGCCTCAAAGGGCATCTGATGCCCGGCCTCCGTCGCTAGGCTCTAGTCCCCACTCCTTTTATCTCCTTAACTCCCAAAATGTGGACCGTGACTCTCCCCAGGTTGGACTGGAATTCTGAGTTCAGTCTGCCTCACAGTCTATCCTCCTGCTCTAGGACTTTTTCTCTCATTTCCAGGCCGCCCCCTCAAACTGCTTGCTTTACTCAAGCTGCTCTGCCTGGGAAGGACTTCCCTCCTTTTCCTAGCAACACCGTCCAGTTTATTTATTTTTTTATTTATTTATTTGAGACGGAGTTTCACTCTTGTTACCCAGGCTGGAGTGCAATGGCGCGATCTCGGCTCACCGCAACCTCCGCCTCCTGGGTTCAGGCAATTCTCCTGCCTCAGCCTCCTGAGTAGCTGGGATGACAGGCACGCAACCACCATGCCCAGCTAATTTTTTGTATTTTTAGTAGAGACGGGGTTTCACCATGTTCACCACGATGGTCTCGATCTCTTGACCTTGTGATCCGCCCGCCTCAGCCTCCCAAAGTGCTGGGATTATAGGCTTGAGCCACCGCGCCCGGCCCTTGCCATTTGATTTTATATCTTCCAGGTCATTCTATTTTATCCTCAATACCTAGCACATGCCTGGCTGTTGTTAGCCCCTCATAAAAGAGATCTATGAAAGTATCATGTGCCAGCTTCCAAGATGGCCCCCAGTGATCCCTGCTTCCTGGTGTTCACGACCTTGTGTAGTCCCCTCCCACACTGAAGAATGCTGGTCTATATTACCAATGAGATAGAAATTATAGTCTGTGGCGCTCTCTCTCTCTCTCTCTCTCTCTCTGTCAGACAGAGTTTCACTCTTGTTGCCCAGGCAACAGTGCAATCTTGGCTCACTGCAACCTCTACCTCCCAAGTTCAAGCAATTCTCCTGCCTCAGCATCCCGAGTAGCTGGGATTATATGCATGCACCACCATATCCAGCTAATTTTGTATTTTTAGTGGAGGGTTTCTCCATGTTTGTCAGGCTGGTGTCAACTCCCAACCTCAGGTGATCTGCCCACCTTGGCCTCCCAAAGTGATGGGATTATAGGCATGAGCCACTGCACCTGGCCTAGTCTGTGACTTTCGAGGCTTACCTATAAAAGACATTGGGACTTCCTCCCTGCTCTCTCACAGATCACATGCTTGGCCATGTTGTGAAGACACACGAGTAGCCCTAGAGGTCCACATGGTCGGGAACTGAGGCCTCCTGCCAACAGCCAGCACTGACTTGCCGGGCATGAGAATTAGCTACTTTGCAAATGGATCTTCCGGCCCCAGTCAGGTATTCAAATGACTAGCCTGACAACTGCCCGCAACCTCCTGAGACTTTGAAGCACAACTACCAAGCTCCCAAATTCCTGACCCATAGCATCTGTGGGGTGTAAGAAATAACAGACAATTGATGCACATCTAAAAGTGTCTTTTTTTTCATGATAAAATTGTTAAAAGTCTTTTGCAGAAAAGTTGAATTCTATTTTTCTTCTTTCTGAAGACTCTGTTTCTCAGTGGTCATATCACACTTTGTGAGAGACATTGACGTTACCAGCAGGCAGCAGCCAGAACACCTGGTAGCCCCTCCCAAGTGACCCCAAGCTGGCTGGGGCCCTTCCCGGGCTCCCCACTTCCAAGGCAACTGGGAGTGGGAAAGAGTTGGGTTTCAAATTTGCTGGGCCCCCCACCCACCTCATTAGAAAAATCAGAGAGGAGGCCAAGTCCACGGCAGCTGTTCATATGACATACTTTATTTCCGATCTACAACCATTAAAAACGCTTTATAAGTTTACACTGTACAGTTATTCTCATGTCTGAAATAAGACACAGGGGCAGGGAGAGCTGGTGGATTGGACCGCAGTTGTCCTAGCACCCGATCCATCCTGGGAAGGAGCCTTTTGGAGACAGAAGTGTAAAGGAGAGAACAGTGGACAAGAGAGGTGGACAGTTGGCCCAAGGATGCCCTTGGTCCCTTCCCTCCCATAGGCCTTGCCCTGGGGGGTCCCCCAGGGCCCATGACTGCAGGACCCTCACCAGGAAACCAGGCTGAGTGGGAAGGGGGTTCACAGTATTGGCGGGGGCTGGGGAGGGGGGCCAGGATGAGGAGGAAGGGCAGCTTCTGGCTCTCTTCCCAGCTGCTGGGGGTTGGAGCTGTTTTTGGCACTGTCTACAAGGTCTCCCTGGGCTTGGGAGGAGGAGGAACTGGGGATTTAGGATTCTTTCCTGGTGGAGTTAGATTTCTTTGCATTTGAGGAGGGACCATCTGGCCTATGGTGAGGTTCCCAAGGGATAAACAGTCAGGGTCTTCTGCTTCCTGCCTCCCCAGGACTCCCACCGCCTCCCTGGCAGGCAGCATCTACACAGCCTTTTGTAAAACCAAGACAAGTGAGAGAGGTGAGCAGGAGCAGGGAAAGGAAAAACATATGCTTTCTCCAGGCCCTCCAGCTTCTCTTCCTTCTCCAAGAGGAGAGACTATAGGGTTGGTTTTTGTTGTTGGTGATTCCCAATCTCAGGAGTCCAGATGAGGCTGCTGTTTTCCACCTGTTCTTGGCCTAGTTAGCCCCAGTCCCTCCCCAGGCTACACTAATGGCTAGCCCAGATCGGCAGCTGGCATATTCTTGTGCATGTCGGAACCATCTGGAGGGCTCCTTCAAACCCCAGCTTGCAGGGCCCCAATCCACAAGCTCTAATTCAGTGGGTCTTGGGTGGGGCCGATAATTTGCACTTCTGTCAATTCCCAGGTGATATTCCGGCTGCTGGAATGCAAAATGAGAACCACTCGCCAAGAATGATGGCCACAGTCACTCATCCTTAGCAACCTGGTGCCTCCTGGGCAGCACTAACAAGCTGGGCCACAGCTGGCAAAGCCCAGCCTTGGGGCAACATATCACTTGGGAAGCAGCTGGGAATGGTCCTGGGGTGAGTCCCTCGTGCAGAGAACTAAAGTAAGGCACAGAGATCAGCAACAGAGCTGAGAGAGGAGCCAGGATACCAGGGCACAGTAGAGAAAGGATGGGGCTAAAGGACCCTACAGCATGAGGCAGTGCTCTAGGGCCCACGGGGCCATCCCGGTGCTCATCACAGGATCACAAGACTGGGAGGGTGGGAGAAGTGAAGACATCTGCCCAGACCTGGGCCAGGTCTCCAGATTGCCAGCTGAGGTCCCTCTTTTTGGGAATGGCTTGAGTGGTTCCGAATAAAAAGTGACAAGGCAGCCAGCCCTGACTGCCTCAGCCCTTCAAAGATGTTTAGAGAAAACCCAAGGTCCCTTCCTCAGGGCATGGTGTCCAGAAAGCTGGTGAAGGGCAGGGAGGGAGGGGAGCAGGGCCAATGGGATAGACAAGCAGCAGAGGAGGCTCCAAGGAGGGTAAGGGAGGAGTGGCAGGGCTGGCAGTGGAGAGGAGCCCTGGGCAGGAGACTTGGGCCCTGCATCATGTCCTCAGTCCCCTTAGGACATTGGGTCTATGGATTTTGCAAACTGCAAATGCTGTTGGGTTGGGAGGGGTAGGGGGTAGAGTCTGGATGAACTGTAGATTTTGCCAGGACAAGCAACTCTAAGGGTGGTGAGATCCAGAGGAGAATGGAAAGGATGGTTGAATATTGAATAGACAGAGATGGACAGAGGACCAGAGAGAGGGAGAGAAGAACCGGTCAGGCAGCACCTGCTTTATAATCAAGGCCATCTGAGACTGGGCAAGGCAGAGCAGGAAGAGGGATCCAAGCCCCCCAACCCCCACCACCAGCGCACACACACACCCAGTGCAAAGTGCTGGGGCTGCTGCTGGCAGACTGCCTGCAGAGAAGACAGTGTGGCTCAAGGGTGGGACTTGGGGGTCGCTGGAGCAGGGCAAGCCCAGTGAGAAAGGCTGGCAGCAGGGCTGGTGCCTCCTGATGCACTGGGGCTTCCGAGGGTCTTTTTTTTTTTTTTTTTTTTTTTTTTTGGAGTGAGAAAACACAAACACAAAACCAGGACACAACCACATTTGAGAGTAAATATCAGAGTTGGGAAACCACAGATGTGGACAGGAAGGCTTCCCTGATAGGAAGCAGGGGGACAGGAAGCAAGTTACTGAGGTACAGGAAAATCCATAGGAGGGAGCAGTGCTGGGAAGAACATTCTTGGAGGATGGACACCTGACTACTACAGTGAGCCAGGGCCCAGAAAAGGAAAACCTGGCATGGGCCAGGGCCACTCCATCTGCTGGCAGGAATCAGCCAAGGAGAAGAGGAGGCAGGAAGACAGGAGGCTTTGGAGGCAGAGGATAAAGAAAGGATGGGTGGGTGGTGGGAGGCAAACAGATCCCAGAGAGGAAGAGGCTAAACCAAGATTAAAGAAAGTCAAAGCAGTGTCTCATTCACTACTGGGGATGCAAGAACTGTTGGGAGTCAGGAATCCTGGGTTCTGGTCTTGGTTCTGCCTTTGGTTTGCTGTGCAACCTTGGGTTAGCTACTGCCTTCTCTGGGCCTGATTCCTTATCTAAAAAAAAATGAGAGGGCTGGACACAAAAGGACAAATACTGTATGATTCTACTTATAAGAAATACTTAGTGTAGGCCAATCCACAAAGAAAAAAAGGTAGAATAAAGGTTACCAGGGGTTGGGGAATGGGGGATTGGGGAGTTACTGTTTAGTGGGTACAGAGTTTCAGTTTGGGATGATGAAAAAGTTCTGGAGGTGGTGGTTACACATTGTGAATGTATCAAGCCACTTAGAAATGTCTAAAATGGTAAATTTTGTTATGTTCATTTTTCCCAGGCCAGGTTCAAGCGATTCTCCTGCCTCAGCCTCCGGAGTAGTTGGAACTATAGGCATGCGCCACCACACCTGGCTAATTTTCTATTTTTAGTAGAGACAGGGTGTCTCCATGTTGGTCAGGCTGGTCTCAAATTCCCAACCTCAGGTGATCCACCTGCCTCAGCCTCCCAAAGTGCTGGGATTATACGCATAAGCCACCACACCTGGCCTTACAATTTTTTTTTAAAAAAGGAAGGGGTTTGGTCCAAATTATGTTATGGCCTCCTTGCTATTCATGAAAACTAGTGAAGGGGATGAGGAAGATATTGTCCCCCACCACAGGGCCATGGCACTGAAAGGCTGGGCTGGGGACACTGAGTGTGATCAGACCACTTTCCATTTGTGTAGAACCTCACATTTTTCCAAGGAGACTTGTAGGCACAGTGTTGCAGCTGGTCCTCACGACAGCTACATGGGGTGGGACGTTACGCCACCTTATAGATGGGGAAACTGAGGTATAGACCAGCCACATGATCTCAGCAAGGTCATTCACGTCAGTGGATATTTATTTTTTTAAACAGTCACCTGGAAAACATCCTTGCATCTTAGGTTCACCTGTTTGAATCACCAACTGGCTCAGTGGCCCTTGATGAAAGGATATGTGCTATAAATTAGTAGACGAGTTCGTCTCCTGGGGCAAACATGCTTGCTTCCTGTAGTTGGATGACGAAAATTTTAAATCCTGATGTGTTTCTCTTTTTACCATGGCTGCCAGGAAACTCAACAGTAAAATTTAATTGCATGATTATGGGAATTATACCAGTTAAATTTACAGAATAATTTATCTTGCTTTTTTACTTTTTATTTTACTGAACCCCTATGACTAGGGTTGTAAATTGCCTCCGATGCCTTTTGGAAATCCTGAGTAATTAAACAAATCAGTTTGGTTGAGGACTCGGTCCCTTAAGTCCTTGTTCAGTGCTCAGTGCTCCTTTACAGCATCAGGCCGGGCGTGGTGGCTCACGCCTGTAATCCAAGCACTTTGGAGGCCAAGGCAGGCGGATCACCTTAGGTTGGGAGTTCAAGACCAGCCTGACCAACATGGTGAAACCTCGTCTTTAAAAAAAAAGAAAAAGAAAAAGATGCAGCATCATGGTTATTAGTTAATAGATGAGGCTGGATGCGGTGGCTCATGCCTGTAATCCCAGCACTTTGGGAGGCTGAGACGGGCGGATCACCTGACGTCAGGCATTCAAGACTAACCTGGCCAACATGGTGAAACCGTCTCTACTAAAACTACAAAAATCAGTCAAGTATGGTGGGGTGCACCTGTAATCCCAGTTACTCGGGATGCTGAGGCAGGAGAATTGCCTGAACCAGAAAGGTGGAGGCTGCAGTGAGCCGAGATGGTGTCACTACACTTCAGCCTGAGCGACAGAGCAAGACTGTCTCAAAAAAAAAAAGAAAAGAAAGAAAGATGGCATGGTGGCCGATGCCTGTAACCCCAGCACTGTGGGAGGCTGAAAAGGACATTTCACTTGAGCTCAGGAGTTTGAAACCAGCCTGGACAACATAGAGCAACCCCTGTTTCTAAAAAATAATAATAAATAAATTAAAAATAAATTAAAAAAAATAAAGACAGCCTAATAATCAGGGCCATGAACACCAATGGTGTGGCCAATAGCGCCAAAGATCCCCCTGGGAGGCCTGTTTTTTAAAATTTTATTGTATTATTATTAAGATGGAGTTTACACTGTCACCTGGGCTGGAGTGCAGTGGTGCAATCTCGGCTCATTGCAACCTCTGCCTCCTGGGTTCAAGCGATTCTTCTGCCTCAGCCTCCTAGGTAGCTTGGATTACAGGCATGCACCACCATGTCCAGCTAATTTTTTGTATTTTTAGTAGAGAAGGGTTTTCACTATGTTGGCCATGCTGCTCTCAAACTCCTGACCTCGTGATCCGCCTGCCTTGGCCTCCCAAAGTGCTGAGATTACGGGTGTGACCACCATGCCTGGCCTCTCCGGGCAGATTCAGGGTGGCAAACATGTAGATTCAGGGTGGAGCCCAGGAATCTGCATTCTGAATATGCTCTCAGAGAATTCTGCTGAATGGGGAGCTCAGATCACCCTCTGGAATACACAGGCTCAGTGATCTGGAATGGTCTTGTTTTATGCCTGGGTTGGCCACTATATTCCGAGTATTCTGGACCCATATAAAGCCCCCAGCAGGGCAGTGGATTTGCACAGCAAACAGAAGAGTTGGACTCAAGTTCTTGTCTAAACTCAGTGACTTCTCATGTTCTGGGACAAGACCTGCACCTCAGTCTCCTCATCTGCAAAATGAGTGCACTAACCCATGTCCTGCCAAGGCTGCCTCCAAGAGTTGTCCCCAAAAGGTCTGAAGGAGATGTGGAGTGGGAAACTCTTTTTTTCTTTTTTGAGATAGGGTCTCACTCTGTCACCCAGGCTGGAGTGCAATGGTGCAACCTCTGCTCCTGCCATCTCTGCCTCCCGGGCTCAAGCCTCCTGAGTACCTGGGACTACAGGCGCCCACCACCATGCTCAGCTAAATTTTTGTATTTTTAGTAGAGACAGGGTTTCACCACTTTGGCCAGGCTGGTCTTGAACTCCTGACCTCAAGTGATCCTCCTGCCTTGGCCTCCCAAAGTGCTAGGATTACAGGCGTGAGCCATCGTACCCAGTCATGGGAAACAATTTCTAAACAGTAAAGTGCTTTAGGAGGGATGTGCAGGGGATGATGATGACCATTATTATTACTATTATTAAGGAAGAGGTAGTGGGAGCTTGAGGGTCTGGTGAGGCTAGAAACAGGGGACATTCTAGATAGGAGGGGAGGGGGAGAAAGACCCTGGGCACTGGGTAGGCCAGAGGAGAAGAGGCTGAGTGATGAAACTATAAAAGTGCATCCGAGTGGACGTGATGGAACCATGTCAGCACAGGGTGTTAGAGGGTCAAGTTGTTGGGCCTTTCACCTTGTCACATGGGAAGCAAACTGGTAGAAGAGTGCCCCTGGGGACACCTGGAGGTGGGACCCATCTTCAGTTCATAGAAAGCAAGATCTCTTAGAGGTCAGCCTTTGGTGGGAAATGAACTGGGGGAAAGGGCTGGCACAGGGTCAGGGGATTGGATTCTGATGTCTCGTGCGTGCAGGCCTAAGAGCCACTGAGGCCCCAAAATGGTTTGATTTGCATTTTCCAATGAAGTCATCATTCTGAAAGGGTCTGATTTGGTTCTGGAAAGAGGTCAGACATAAGAAGCATGTGGCTTCCCAGTTTAGGGCCAGTCATGTCAATTGGTCCCCTATTTACCCCAACCAACTGGTGCCAACCCCATGGACCCAAGCCAAGCAGTCTGTGGGGAGTGGGTCCCCAGGGTTCCTTGGGTCTTTGGCTGAAGAGAGAGTGGAGATGGGGAAAAGAGAAAGAAGGACAAAGGAGGAGAAAGAAGGAGCTAGCAGTACAAGGCAGGAGGCAGGACGGAAGTGGGGAGAAAGGGGAGAAGGGCAGCATTCCTTCTTGGGAACCCCAATTCTCCAGGGGAATCCCCACTATGGGTCAGGCAGTTTTCTGCTTTGGGAATGTTACCAAGACTTAAAAGGCATTTGAAGAAACAAACTTAGAAATGACATTCTAAAAGAGTAGAGAGTTTTTACAAACCAATCCCCCCACCCCAAAAAAGAAAACACAACCAGTTACCAAGTAAAATGCTAAAAACCAAACCAAACCAATATTTACATGTAACATGTTCAACCCCATCAAGCCCCACATCCAGAGGCTTCTGCAGAAACAGTGATAAGTGGCCTTGCACAGTGGCATGCAGGAAGTAGAAACTGGGGCTTCACTGAAAACCGAGGTCTGGCTGAGACAACGAAGATGGCAAGGACAATCTTGAATAGTACGATGGTAAGGCTGAGTAGTCCGTAGGTCTTGGGGCTTAGGTACCACGGGGATTTTTCCCCAAGGCTGGGTACGCAGGCTCCCTGGCTCTCTGTTGCTCTGGGAGGTGGCAGAAGGCCTCTGGTGACTTGTGGCCTGGTGTGAATCCCCTCACTTGGAGATAACCTTGGAAGGCTCCCTGACCTCATGGGTGACAGCAGCAGCATCCCAGAGGGAAACTGACCCACAGCTCCACTGGCTGCTTGCTCTGCCTACACATGTCACTGGGGCATGGAGGAAGCGGCTGGTAGGACTGACATGACCCTGGTGTTCAGCCTGCAGGGAAGGGAGATGCAGGGCTTTGGGTAACTGGTCTAGGTCATCCCGAATGGGTGGGTCTGGGAACTAGCAGGTGGGAGGTGGAAGTGCAGGAGTGCCTCCAGAGTCCTGGGGGCAAATCAGCAAAGCTACTGGGTTTTGGTCTTCCTTATGAGCAATTCTGCAGACAACCTGATCCACCCTGGTGTTTCCACTCTGGGTCCCCAGCCAGTTACAGGAAGCTGCATGTCTATGTGTATATGGGGAGCATGTGTGCAACCAAATGAGTTCACTGGTACCAAGGGGAGGCCATGGGAGGCACCCCCACACATGCTGCAACAAGCCACGTCGAACGGGGGATATGAGGAAGGGCGGGCAGCAGAGCTGGGGCAAGGAGAAGAGCCGTGAAAGGCCATAAGGCTAAGGAGAGAGGCTGGTGAGAAGGCTGGCAGGCTGGTGAGAACCGAGGCAGGCTGGGAGATGCTCTCAGGTTTATGTGCAAAGCTGCAATAAACAACATTCTCGAAGTTCAGTCCTGTTTTCCTGCAAGTTCTCATTTGGGAAACTTGAAGGGATCTCCATGCTCTTAAGAGAGCCTTAGTAATCCACATTTGACTTATGAAGAAAGGTGCCAGAGGGAGGGAGGGAAATGAGACAGCAATGGAGAATGTCCGGGGCATGGTGATGGCCGTCCAGCCCTCCACCTTGTCAGTGAGTATTTACAGACTGACCGCTGGGGCTGGCCAAGTACCAGGCACTGAGTAATAAGTAGTGTTCTGAGGCCATATGGCCAGCAGTGTTGGGGTACAGGGCTCCAGCTCTGTTGAGGGGCCCTCCAAATCTGACCAGGAGACCAGGTCACCAAACCTGGCTGCCCAGCTGCCTCATCTACCCGGGGGACCCCGTGCCTGTCTGTGCTGTTAGACGCCTCATGTTGTCCCAGTGGCAAGAATGCATGTTCCAACCTCCAATAAATTACCTTAGGGACTGTGGGGTAAATTAAGTTATTAAAATAAATTAAATCACCTTAAATATTTATAGTATGAAAAATTCAAATAAACAGTCTAGGCAAGATATGTGTTCCCAGGCCCCAGTCTAATGCTGTGTCCTGGGCTCTGGCCTCTTGGTATTCTCCTGGGCCTGACCTGGCCAACTGTGAATCTCTTACTGGGAATATCTTTGCCTCCCCCACCAGCTACAGGATGTAAACACAGTGGAGATGTAGTACCCGCCCCTCTCAGGGTGCCAGGGAAAGAGGCCTCTGAGACCGAGATCAAGGCAGTGTATTTAGGCATTTATCTATGCACCAGGTCTGGAGACTGACTCTACATGTTTCTGTCCTCAAGGGGTCTGCAGGGAAGGTTGGGGCCCCAAGTCACTTTGGCAAGGAAGGCAACTGCAATCACTCCCCAACCCTGCACCCAGTACATTTCCACTTTGCCTCCCAGCTTTTGCTGCACCCAGGCTATGGGCAGGGAGATCCAGGGCTCCAGAATTCCAAGTAGATACTTGGCCCTGGCTACTGCCCTATCATACCCCCTAGTGTCCCAGCAATCTAGAGCAGTGGGGCTGGGAGGAGGAGGTGGTAGTGGAGAGAAGAAGGTGATGGTGATGATGCCCAGCTGGGCTCCACCAGGAACCCAAGACAGAGCCCTAGAGCAAAGCCTGTTCTTCTCAGCACTGTCTCCTCCTGAATGAAGGGGTGGATGGTCAGCAGGAAACAGCTCTCTGAGTCCTTTTCCCCAAAGGCATGGCCAGACATGTATCCTTCCTGGGCTCTTCCAAGAGGGGGACATGAGCAGAACTAGGCAAGGCTCTCTCTTAGGACCCAGGGATTGGCTCTTGAGGGATCTCTCAGTGGATGCCCAGTTTTGGTCTCTCTCCCACTCACTGCCTTCCCCTGGGAAGTTGGAGCTCACCACCCAGGGGCCAGCAAGAGACCCGGCTTTACCTTGATGTGAGAGCTGCATTCTGGCAGTGGCATTGTTGCTGTCCCTCCAGGGCCAGGCAATGCTGAGGACACAGCCCCTCGCCTCACCTCATCTTGTCTTGTCTTCGCTGGTTCCTTTCTGCTATCCAGGGGCTGGGCTGGTTGAGGCGGGGAGCTTGGCTGCTCTGTCACTCGCTGGGGGGGGGCGCCCTCTCCTCCCCACCCCAGCTGGACTCTGAAGGGTGCAGCTTGCACTTGGATGGAGAGTGGCGGATGGCAGAGCGGGACGACCGGGCGAAGCAGGAGGTGAGAGACTGGGTGCTACAGTCACAAACAGCGTCCTAGAAAGAGGGAGGCAGGGAGGCAGGAAGTCAAAAGGAGCCAGGAGACATGGGCCTCTGTGGTGTGCCAGGCAAGGAACTGAGACTCAGCCATGGACCAGTTCCCAGGGGCTGAAGCTCCTCACTGGACCGGTTTTTTCATTTTATTGGTCTTCTCCCATTAAAGCAGTAATGGATGTTCATTATAATATATTTTAGGCTACACAGAGGACAGTGGGCACTGTCCACGGTCCTGTACACCAAATAGATTATCAACATACATTTACCAAAACGAGCTCATTCCCTACAGCTTATTTTGCAATTGTAAAACATGAACACTTTTCTGTTACTAGGTATGTCTACCTCTCCTTCCTTTTTTTTTTTTTTTCTTTTGAGACAGAGTCTCACTATATTTCTCAGGCTGGTTTTGAACTCCTGAGCTTAAGCAATCCTCCTGCCTCAGCCTCCCAAACTGCTGGGATTACTACCTTTAGGTGCTCATACCTCCCAAAGGCATGAACCACCATGCCTGGCCGATTGCCTTCTTTTTTAATGCCTCTATACTATTTCACTAGATAGAAATAACTGATTTATATACCCAATTCACTTTTTTTTTTGACAGAATCTTGCTCTGTCACCCAGGCTGGAATACAGTGGCATGATCTTGACTCACTGCAACCTCTACCTCCTGGGTTTAAGCAATTCTCATGCCTCAGCCTCCCAAGTAGCTGAGTTTACAAGCATGTGCCACCATGCCCAGCTAATTTTTGTATTTTTAGTAGAGATGGGGTTTCACCATGCTGGCCAGGCTAGTCTTGAACTCCTAACCTCTAGTGAGCCACATGCCTGGGCCTCCCAAAGTGGTGGGATTGCAGGCGTGAGACATTGTGCCCATCCCCAATTCACTTTTGATATACATTTGGGTAGTTTCTAATTTTTTACTATTACTAACAGATAGAAATAATGATTAAAAGTGCTCCTGGGCAGCTGGGCACGGTGGCTCACACCTGTAACCCAGCACTCTGGGAGGCCAAGGCAGGTGGATCACCTGAGGTCAGAAGTTTGAGACTAGCCTGGCCAACATAGTGAAACCCTGTCTCTACTCAAAATACCAAAATTAGCTGGGCATGGTGGCACACGTCTATAGTCCCAACTACTCAGGAGGCTGAGGCAGAATAATTGCTTGAACCTGGGAGGCAGAGGTTACAGTGAGCCAAGATCACTGCACTCCAGCCTGAGGACAGAGCAAGATCCCATCTCAAAAAAAAAAAAAAACAAACCCAAAGTGCTGCTGAACTGGGCCACTTGGGAGCCTGAGACAGGAGGATCCTTTGAGCCAGGAGGTCAAGGTGGCAGTGACCTATGATTGTGCCACTGGACTCTGGCTTGGGCAACAGAGCAAGACTCCATCTCTTTAAAAAATAAATAAATGAAATAAAAGTGCTGCAACAGAGCCAAACTGCTTGGTTCAAACCCCAGCTTTGCCAATTACTAGCTGTGTGACCTTGGGAGAGTTGCTTAACCTCTCTTGAGCTTTGATTTCCTTCCCTGTCTCTCTTTTTTAATTATTTTTCTTTATCTACCTCTGTGAATTTTTTTTTTTTTTTTTTTGAGACGGAGTTTCACTCTTGTTACCCAGGCTGGAGTGCAATGGCGCGATCTCGGCTCACCGCAACCTCCGCCTCCTGGGTTCAGGCAATTCTCCTGCCTCAGCCTCCTGAGTAGCTGGGATTACAGGCACGCGCCACCATGCCCAGCTAATTTTTTGCATTTTTAGTAGAGATGGGGTTTCACCATGTTGACCAGGATGGTCTCGATCTCTCGACCTCGTGATCCACCCGCCTCGGCCTCCCAAAGTGCTGGGATTACAGGCTTGAGCCACCGCGCCCGGCTTCTCTGTGAATATTTCTATAGGCTACATTCCTAAAAGAAGAACTACAGAGTCAATGGGTAGCACACACATTTTACATACTGAACAACATTTGGATAAACTTTAAAATCAACATTCAAACTGCAGCCAGCTTTGTTCTATTGTTTCTTTTTTTTTTTTTTTTTTTTTTTCTGAGATGGAGTCTTGCTCTGTTGCCCAGGCTGGAGTGCAGTGGTATGGTCTCGGCTCACTGCAACCTCTGCCTCCCAGGTTCAGGCGATTCTCCTGACTCAGCCTCCTGAGTAGCTGGGATTACACCACACCCAGCCTTGTACTGTTGTTTCTTGATGTGGTGCTGGTTAAATGGGAGTGATGGGTAATTTCATATGTCAATATGACTGGGCCACTGGGTGCTGAGATATTACATAAAACATTGTTATGAATGTTTCTATGAGAGTGTTTTGAAATGAGATTAACATGTAAATTCTCAGCCAGGTGTGATAGCTCATGCCTGTAATCTCAGCACTTTGGGAGGCTGAGGTGGGCAGATCACTTGAGGTCAGGAGTTTGAGAACAGCCTGGCCAACATGGTGAAACCCCGTCTCTACTAAAAATAAAAAATTAGCCATGTGTGGTGTCACCTGCCTATAATACCAGCTACCCGGGAAGCTAAGGCACAAGAATCGTTTGAACCTGGGAGGCAGAGGTTGCACTGAGCTGAAATCACACCACTGCACTCCAACCTAGGTGACAGCAAGACTCCGTCTCAAAAAAAAAACCAAAACCCAAAAAAACCGACATGTATATTATCCCTAACATGGGTGGACCTCATCCAGTCAGTTGAAGGCTTGAACAGAACAAGAGGGCTTACTCTCCCTCAAGTAAGAGAATTCCTCTTGCCTGACAGCCTTCAGACTGAGACACTGGCTTTTTTCCTGCCTTCAGACATTTATTTATTTATTTATTTATTTATTTTTGAGACTGAGTCTCACTCTTTTGCTCAGGTTGGAGTGCAGTGGTGTGATATTGGCTCACTGCTTCCTGGGTTCAAGCAATTCTCATGCTTCAGCCTCCTGAGCATAATGCTTACTTTTTCTATTTTTTTAGTAGAGATGGGGTTTTGCTATGTTGACAAGGCTGGTCTCAAACTCCTGGCCTCAAGCAATCCACCTCTCTTGGCCTCCCAAAGTGCTGGGATTAGAGGTATGAGCTGCTGCGCCTGGCCCTTCCTTCAGACTTTAACTGAAACATCTGCTCTTTCTAGGTTACTGAGCTATTGGCTTTTGGACTGAAACTAAATGACCAGCTTTTTTTTTCTTGAGACGGCTGGGCACAGTAGCTCACACCTATAATCCCATCACTTTGGGAGGCTGAGGCAGGGAGATCACCTGAGGTCAGGAGTTCAAGACCAGCCTGGCCAACATGGTGAAACCCCATCTCTGCTAAAAATACAAAAATTAGCTGGGTGTGGTGGCTCAGGCCTTCAGTCCCAGCTACTTGGGAGGCTGAAACAAGAGAATTGCTTGAACCTGGGAGGCGGTGGTTGCTCGTACCACTGCATTCCAACCTAGGCGACAGAGTAAGTGAGACTCTGTCTCAAAAAAAAAAAAAGTTAAGAAAATAAAAGAAATATTTTTTTTTTCTTTTTTGGAGACAGGGTCTCCCTTTGTTGTCCCAGCTAGAGTGCAGTGGCACAGTCATGGCTCACTGCAGCCTCACCCTCAGGGCTTTAAGGATTTTCCCTCCTCAGTTTCCCAAGTAGCTGGGGCTACAGGCACGAAGCACCACCATGCCTGGATTTTTTTTTTTTAAGATGGAGTTTTGCTCTGTCGCCCAGGCTGGAATGCAATGGTGCGGTCTTAGCTCACTGCAACCTCCACCTCCTGGGTTCAAGCAATTCTCCTGCCTCAGCCTCCTAAGTAGCTGGGATTATAGGTGCCTGGCATCACACTCAGTTAATTTTTGTATTTTAAGTAGACATAGGGTTTTACCATGTTGTCCGGGCTGGTCTTCTACTCCTGACCTCAAGTGATCCGCCTGCCTTGGCCTCCTAAAGTGCTATAATTACAGGCATGAGCCACGGCTCCCGGCCTTTTAAAATTTTGTTAATGTAGAGATGAGTCCTCGCCATGTTGCTCAGACTGGTCTTGAACTCCTGGCTCAAGTGATCTGCCCACTTCCATCTCCCAAAGTGTTGGAATTAGAGACATGAGCCATTGTGCCTGGCCAAAACAGGAATAAATATTTAAAAGATGTTTTTAAATGGCAACCAGCTGAGTGAGAGTAGAGAAAAGTAAAGCACTCACCACACACTGCTGGAGGCTGTAGAAACGGCAAACTTTTGAGAAACAATTTGGCAATATTTATCAAATAACTTTAAAACATTTATTTTTTCATCCTTTAATCTCATTTAATCTGCAACTTACACCTAAGGAAATAGTCTGAAATGTGAAAAAAATGGGTTTTGCACTAAGATGTTCACCACAATATTATCTACAATAGAGAAAAATTTGAAACCACCCAAATGTATAATAATAGAAAAGTAGAATGTTTGCTCAGTATGGTGGCTCACTCCTGTAATCCCAGCACTTTGGGAGGCTGAGGTGGGCAGATCACCTGAGGTTGGGAGTTTGAGATCAGCCTGACCACCATGGAGAAACCTCGCCACTAAAAAAAAAAAGAAAAAAGAGAAAAAAATACGCCATCCTTCAAACATATTTCCTTCCCTTTCTGCAAAGTTAATTTATATGCTTTCTAACATTCAAATAAAGCTCATTAACTAACTTAAAAGAAACTGATAGCAGGAGTAGGGTATGCAGCAAAAGATTCTAAGAGGAAATGTGAGCACTTAGGTGTGAAGTCTTGATGGGGTGGGGAAGTGGTGTGCCTGCTAATGTTTAACAACTCGTTTTCCAGGAGTGAGAGGAGGAGGCCTGATTTGTAGTGTTTCCCATTTTTATGCTATAAGTCCTCCCACTGTCGCCAATCTCAAGGTACCAAGGTGATGTTAAACAGATGCTGACAATTGGCTCCCACAAGCCAAATTAGCTGGCTCCAGCACACCACCGGGTGGCAGGAGAGCAGTGGGCACACCCTTTCCCTGGAGGGGACGCTGGCAGTTCCCGGTGGGTGGTGTGAAAGCAGCAGGTTAAGCCATGCTCACTAGTCTTGTGGCATTCAGATCATGTGACCATTAGGTCTACGTTCTTCGAAGTCTGGGACCTTCCAACTCTATCCCAGACCAGCATAAGAACTTCCTGGGACAAATGGCCATGTCCCTGAATTTTTTATTTTATTTTATTATTTATTTATTTATTTATTTATTTATTTTGAGACGGAGTTTCACTCTTGTTACCCAGGCTGGAGTGCAATGGCGTGATCTTGGCTCACCGCAACCTCCGCCTCCTGGGTTCAGGCAATTCTCCTGCCTCAGCCTCCTGACTAGCTGGGATTACAGGCACACGCCACAATGCCCAGCTAATTTTTTGTATTTTTAGTAGAGACGGGGTTTCACCATGTTGACCAGGATGGTCTCGATCTCTTGACCTCGTGATCCGCCCGCCTCAGCCTCCCAAAGTGCTGGGATTACAGGCTTGAGCCACCGCGCCCGGCCCATTTTATTTATATTTTTATATTTATGTATATTTTTTGAGATGGAGTCTTACTTTGTCACCCAGGCTTGAGCGCAGTGGCACGATACCAGCTCACTGCAACCTTGGCCTGGTTTCAAGTGATTCTCCTGCCTCAGCCTCCAGAGTAGCTGGGACTACAGGTGCACGCCACCACACCTGGCCAATTTTTGTAATTTTGGTAGAGATGGGGTTTCACCATGTTGGCCAGACTGGTCTCGAACTCCTGATCTCAGGTGATCTGCCAGCCTTGGCCTCCCAAGTTGCTAGGATTACAGGCATGAGCCACCTTGCCCAGCCCATATCTCTGAACTTAAAAACCAAAAGAGGTTGGACCGTACATACTAACTCCACCTCCCAAGATAGAGGACATATCCCACCCACCTACCTCATTGGGAAGGACCATGGCTCCATCTCCGTCCCGCAGGACACCATCCTTCCCAACCTGGGAGAGCATGGTGGTTCTGGCCTCCTCACTGCTGCCCGACTTGGCTGCCTTCTTGTTCAGGATCCTGGCCACCCCCTCTGGCTGATGGTAGCTGGCCGGGGAGAGGGGCTCTGGCTTCTTGGTGCCCTCTTCTCCTGCTGCCGAGGTGGGGCTTGGCGCCCGGCCGCACACATTCCGGAAGAACTCCTGCACGATGCCATACTTGGGAGGCTCGGGCTTGGCCCGCGTCTCAGACATGCCCAGTTTCCAGACAGACTCTGTGCTCCCTGAGTGCTCCACCACACTGAAGAGGCTGGAGAGTCCATCGTTGATGTTTCTCAGTACAGGGCTGTCCCGCGTAGTGGTGGAGCGGGCCCAGGCCGAGCCGTTCTGCTTGCCCTGGTGCAGGTTCCACAGGCTGCGGTCCTTGCTGCTGTCCAGCTTGGACACGGACCGCCTCTGGAGCTTTGGTGAGCCATACTTGGGGGAGCAGCAGGGCCGCTCGATGCGCGAATGGACCTTGTCCAGGGAGGAGGAGATCTGCTTGCTGCGCACAGACACTAGCGAAGAGCTGCGGGGTGACCAGGCCTTGCCGTGGAGGCTGCTGCGGGGTGGGTCAGTCTGCAGGCCAACGCTAACCGTGCGGATCGTCTGTGTGCCCACGCTGGCCAGGCCCACTGTCTGGCTGGACGTGCTCTTCACTTTCCTCTCCAGTGAGCCCGAGCGCATGGCCTGGCGCACGCAGTTGGTGATCTCCTTCATGTCGTCGCTCATATTGCCTGACATCTCAAAGTCATGCAGGGCCTCTGGGAAGCCAGCCCCAGCTGCAGAGGGGCTGCCCCCTGAGCCTCCGTCCAGGCGCTGCCGTGAGAAGTTGCAGAGCCACCGACCATAGGAGCTCTCAGCCAGTCCATCAGCCTCGGCTGACTCTTTGGGCTTGGCTGTGGTGAAGAGGAAGCCGGGCTCGATAATGATCTTGCCCTCTTTGTCATGAACCACAGGGACTCCCAGGCGCCGGGCCACTGGGGGGCTATAGTAGACTCGGATGCCCGTCTTGTCAGGAGCCGTATAGCTGCGCTGCATCTGCCTCCCTGGGGGGTCCTGACAGGCCAGGGCACCCATGTGGTTGCAGTCCCTCGAGGAGAGCCCAGGCTTCTCCTTGGTGTCTTTCTCTGGATCCCCTGGCTCAGAACTCACAAAGCCAAAGGCAGGGTTGTTAGGCAGCTTCTTGCCCCGGGCATCTCCACCAGCAAGGTAGGGGGAACAGTCCAGCAAACTTTCAAACTCAGACATGGAAGAAACAGATTTGGTCCTACAAAGGGTAGAGGAGGAAACACAGTTATGAGTGGAAATGACAATGAGTACACACTCTGGTCTACCACCCTGGTCCGGGTGCTGTGTGAGGGCAGAGACCAGGACTGTCTTGTTCACCTCATTTTCTTTTAAATTTTTCTTTTGAGACATAGTCTCGCTCCATCGCCCAGGCTGGAGTGCAGTGGCGTGATCTCAGCTCACTGCAACCTCTGCCTCTCTAGTTGAAGTCATTCTCCTGCCTCAGCCTCTCAAGTAGCTGGAATTACAGGTGTGCACCAGCCCAACTTATTTTTGTATTATTAGTAGAGACAGGGTTTTGCCGTATTGGCCAAGCTGGTCTCGAACTCTTGACCTTGTGATCCACCTGCCTCAGCCTCACAAAGTGCTGGGATTACAGGTGTGAGCCACCGTGCCCAGCCTTGTTCACCTCTTGTAGATGTTGTTGGTATCCAGCCCCACACTGTCTGCAATTTTTTTTTTTCCCAAACACATCTTGGTATGTCACCCAGGCTGAAATGCAGTGGTGCAATAGTTCACTGTAGCCTCAAACTCCTGGGCTCAAGTGATCTTCCCATTTCAGCCTCCAGAGCAGCTGGCACTACAGGTGTGCACCACCACACCTGGCTAATTTTTTTTTTTTTTTTTTTTTGAGACAGAGTCTTGTTCTGTCACCCAGGCGGGAGTGTAATGGCACGATTGCAGCTCACTGCAACCTCTACCCCCTGGGTTCAAGCGATTCTCCTGTCTCAGCCTCCGGAGTAGCTGGAATTACAGGCGTGTGCCAGCATGCCTGGCTAATTTTTGTATTTTTAGTAGAGGTGAAGTTTCACCATGTTGGCCAGGCTGATCTGGAACTCCTGACCTAAAGTAATCCACCCACCTTGACCTCTCAAAGTGCTGGGATTACAGGCGTGAGTCAGTACTCCCGGCCTAATGCCTGGGTAATTTTTAAAATTTTTTTGTAGAGATGGGGGTCTCCCTATGTTGCCCAGGCTGGTCTCAAATTCCTGGCCTCAAGCAATTTTCCTGCCTCTGCCTCTCAAAATGCTGGAATTACAGGCATGAACCACTGCATCTGGCTTCTCTCTGCACTTTCACCTATAAACCTAAAACTGTATACTAAACCATTCTCCACCTGATGGCTTTTTTTTTCTGTCTGTGGGATCATACTTGACCTCCACATAGAAGACGCTAGACCCAGCACTTTGGGATGCTGAGGTGGGCAGATCATCTGAGGTCAGGAGTTCAAGACCAGCCTGGCCAACATGGTGAAACCCCATCCCTACTAAAAATACAAAAATCAGCTGAGTGTGGTGGCACACACCTGTAACCCCAGCTACTTGGGAGACTAAGGCAGGAGAACCGCTTGAACCTGGGAGGCAGAGATTACAATGAGCCAAGATCCCCCAGCTACTTGGGAGGCTGAGGCAGGAAAATTGCTTGAATGTGGGAGGCGGAGGTTGCAGTGAGCTAAGAACGCACCATTGCACTCCAGCCTGGGAGACAGAGCAAAACTCCATCTCAAAACAAAAAACAGAAGCTAGAAATAGCATAGAGTTAATGCCCCTAAACATAGCCCTGAAAATAGGTGGGATATGGTAAGCAAGTTCCCCAACCTCCTGTTCCTCGGGTGGGAAGAAGATAAGATGCATGTTCTGCTCTGGCTCCTGAGTTCCTCCGAGAGCCTGAACTCCAAATGCCCATGGGATAACCCCACTGAAACTCCTTTTAGCGGCTGCTTTCCCTTCCCTGTTTCACTTCCAAGTGTTTCCTGAAAATCTGTCTCAGATAAACCATTTGCACTTAAATTCTTGTCTCAGGGTTTGTTTATGAGAGAAATCAAACTAAGATGCCATGAAACTCCTGGCACACACGTTGCCTGAATCACTGAACATGCCAGGCATATGGAAGTAGGTTTCATGTGTCAGACCACTCTGATAACTCTAAGAGGCAGCTCCTATCATCCCCACTAGACAGAGATGGGAAGTACTGCTCAAGGTCAAGATTATGGAGCTAGAACTGGCACTGCTGGCATTCAAAACTGGCCCTCTGACTCGACAGCCTGTCACCCCTGCCTTGCTTCTGGGCTGGTCTGATGGCAGCTGGGGTTCTGTTTCCCTTACTCCTTTCACGGGCTTCCTAGCAGTGAAGACATGGTCTTTATGCTCTTGGGGTAGGGGTCTCCTTGGTCACAGCACAGGACTGGGCCCAAAGGATGCTGCTCAATAATCCCAGGAAAGGAGGTCCATCTTAACTCTCCTAACTCTGGAGACAGAGAGAAAAGAATCCCAAGAGGAAGTAAACGATTTGTTTCCCAGCAAGGATGTGCTGGGGCCTGTCTTCCATGCCGGGAATCAACACGAAGCAGCCTGAATTCCCACTGCCCCAAGCTTTCCAGCTCCTGAGTGGGTTCCAGAGAAACCATATTGCGATGCTTTCCCAACTCGGTGTGGTGGTGGTAGGAAGAAGGGAAAAGAGGCGGGGTGGGGCTGCAGCGAAAGCCGGCAGAGTGGGTGCGGTGCGCAGCAGGGGGCGGAGAGAGGCGGCGCTGTGGGTGGAGAGGGGCGGGGCTGTGGGGCGGGCAGAGAGGTGGAGCAGGGGGCCAGGATGTAAGCACCTCTTCAAACCGTTTCCTCCAAGCTCAACGTCGGAAACAGCCTCCTTGTCGTGGATCTTCTCACTGCGTGTCTGTCAAGGAAGAGAGACAGGAAGGGTCACTTCTGGCCACCAGAGCTCTAAGGACATGTAACAGGAGACCAGCCTGGACCTCAACTCCTGAATCTCATCTGGAGAGCAGGAATGCCGTCGTCAATGACCTGGCATGGTCAGTTTCTGGCTGCACTGCACCTAACACCTCCACCATATGTGATCCAGGCTGGGCCAGAGACGACTTAGAATTTAATCCAAAGGTGGTGACTGTAACAAAGCATCCAGTAGCTCACTGTTCAGTTGGTGGTGACGGCAGCAACCCAGCAGCTACGGTTCTGGGGTAGGCTTGTCTTCTCTGTCCTCACCCTCAGCCCCTCACTGAGCCCAGTCCCTAGGTTTCTTTTTCCTTTTCCTTTTTTTTTTTTATTTTTTTTTTATTTTAAGACAGAGCCTCTCTCTATTGCTCAGGCTGGAGCACAGTGGCACGATCTCAGCTGACTGCAACCTCCAACTCCCAGGTTCAAGTGATTTTCCTGCTTCAGCCTCCTGAGTACCTGGGATTACAGGCACCCACCACCACGCCTAGCTAATTTTGGTATTTTTAGTAGAGACGGGGTTTCCCCATTTTGGGCAGGCTAGTCTCAAACTCCTGACCCCAAGTGATCTGCCCGCCTCAGCCTCCCAAAGTGCTGGGATTACAGGTGTAAACCACTGTGGCCAGCCTTCGTTTTTCTTTTCTTCCCCCCACCCCCCCCCGAAGATGCAGTCTTGCGCTGTTGCCCAAGCTAGAGTGCACTGGTGTGATCTCGGCTCACTGCAACCTCTACCTCCCGGGTTCAAGCTATTCTCCTGCCTCAGCCTCCCGAGTAGCTGGGATTACAGGCATGCTCCACCACACCCAGCTAATTTTTGTATTTTTAGTAGAGACAGTGTTTCATCATGTTGGCCAGGCTCGTCTCAAACTCCTGATCTCATGATCTGCAAACACCTCAGCCTCCTAAAGTTCTGGGATTACAGGCATGAGCCACTGTGCCCAGCCTTCGTTTTTCTTTTCTTTTTTTTTTTTTTTTTTTTTTTTGAGACGGAGTTTCGCTCTTGTTACCCAGGTTGGAGTGCAATGGCGCGATCTCGGCTCACCGCAACCTCCGCCTCCTGGGTTCAGGCAATTCTCCTGCCTCAGCCTCCTGAGTAGCTGGGATTACAGGCACGCACCACTATGCCCAGCTAATTTTTTGTATTTTTAGTAGAGACGGGGTTTCACCATGTTGACCAGGATGGTCTCGATCTCTTCACCTCGTGATCCACCCGCCTCGGCCTCCCAAAGTGCTGGGATTACAGGCTTGAGCCACCGCGCCCGGCCCGTTTTTCTTTCAAAAAAAGAGTCTCACTATGTCACCCAGGCTAGAGTGCAGTGGCACGATCTTGGCTCACTGCAACCTCCACCTCCCAGGTTCAAGCAATTCTCCTGCCTCAGCCTCTCTAATATCTGGGATTAATGGTGCATGCCACCATGCACTTCTGACTTTTGCATTTTTTTTTAGCAGAGACGGGGTTTCGCTGTGTTGGCCAGGCTGGTCTCGAACTCCTGACCTTAAGTTATCAGGCCACCTCAGCTTCCCAAAGTGCTGGGATTGCAGGCATGAGCCACCGCACCTGGCCTTGCACTGGTTTTCTGAACTACATCCCCATTATCTGCCTTTGAGCCCCCAATAAAATCCTCTCCTGTCTCAGCTCCCCAGAATAGGTATGTATTTGCAACCAAGTCTCCTTACTCATGGACCACTGCCTCAGGCTGTCATAGGATGAAGTGGGGCAATGTGAAGGGCTTGCGCATTCACTGTTTGGTTATTCACCGGGTGCTATATGGACAGTGCACCTGAGGCTTATGGACAAACTTCAACCATGTGACCTTATTGGTCTCCACACCCAGGGATGGGTTAAGGCAGAACATGGGATTCTTATTTCCCAATGAGGCAACTGGGGCTCAGAGGGAGACTGACTTACGCAAGATCGCACAGCTGTTTCAAGGCCCTGCTTTTCATAGGGGCAAAAGTGAAACCAAGATGGGCCTGGGGTTTCTCCCTTGGAGTTGGCAGAGGCTTGATCCTCCTGAAGCTCCAAATCACAGGCATGAACTATGAGATACAGACCCCAGGGCTAAGGAGCCCAAGGTGCAAAGGTGTGAGCTGTGAGATAGGGTTAACAACTTCCTATCATGTCCCCCACAAGCAGGGACCTTTCCCGTGTGGCCAGGAGCCAAGAGAACATGGCAGCAGCTGCCCTACTCACCTCCTTCCAGCTGTTGTCCTGCTTCTCCAGCTCTGAGTGCTTCAGGACCCAGGGGTCAGCAGCCTTCTGCAGCTGATCAAGGGCAGAGAGGGTGGGTCGGTAACAGGCAAAGCTGGTAAGCAGGACCCTGCTCTGAGCAGGGCTACTCCCCAGATTCCACTCTGCAGCCCACGGAACCTACATCATGGACCAGGGGCCACCTTCTCAGTGGGTAGCAGCTCAGCGCGCCCCCTCCCACCCACCAGGTGGATTTGGAAAATGATAATAAAAGGAACTACTTGCAGACATCCTTCTAGATGTCATTATACCTAATATAGTAACAGCCACTACTGTGTGAATTCATAGTACAATTCACGAACAGCTAGACTAGCTAAGCAGCAGCTATATCCCATCAGAGTGGCAAATATCAGACCCAGGCACCCCTGCTGCTCCATCCACAGTGGTCATCACTCATGGATCCTGGCAGTCTTTCCTGGTGGGCCTTGAGATGGCCTCTGGTTCCCTCCCCTCTTGGAGTTCTATCCAGGTGGCCTGTGCCAGGTGGCCTAGAACCCATGTTCTAGAAACACATTAGTTAATTTTTTTTTTTTTTTTTTTTTTTTGAGACAGAGTCTTACTCTGTTGCCCAGACTGGAGTGCAGTGGTGCGATCTTGGCTCACTGCAACCTCTGCCTCCTGGGTTCAAGTGATTCTCCTGTCTGCCTCTCAAGTAGCTGGGACTATAAGCACACGCCACCATGCCTGGCTAATTTTTGTTATTTTTAGTACAGATGGGGTTTCACTATGTTGGCCAGGCTGGTCTTAATCTCCTGACTCAGGTGATCCACCTGCCTTGGCCTCCTAAAGTGCTGGGATTATAGGTGTGAGCCACTACGCCTGGCCACATTAATTTAATCCTCACAGAAACTGTATGGTAGGTGTTCCTACAGTTATTCCCATTTCACAGATGAGAGCATCAAGACTAAGAGGTCGGGAAGCTGAATGAATGAATGATCATAACGACAGTGTAGCACATCTCATTGTTGGCAGCTCCATCTGTGCCATGTGGCACTACAACCTTCTCTGGAGGATTGCCTTGGACAACCAGAACCCAATCACTGTCAATGGTGGACAAAGCCAGGGGTCCAAAAGACTGGCCCAAAAGGCAGACCCCTTACCTTAAGATGGACCAAACTGTGGGGTGATTTACTGTTTACACCCTGGGCACGCCATGAGATAAGGCCAAGGGCAGACTTCATCTGCAGGCTTATCTTGCATGGTTTCCTCTCTTTCCCCAGGCTGGCTCCATCTGTTAACAAATTGCTTGCACACAGGGTAACCAACGCATCTTGGTTTGCCCAGACTTTCTCAGTGTTTGCACTGAAAATCCCACATCCTAGAACCCTCAGTTCTGAAAAAACTAGGAGGCTATGACTGAGACTATTCTAATTTTAAAAGTCAAAGTCCCAGGGATGCCCTCAGTCCCAGGCCAGCCAGCATGGGTTGGTCACCTCACTTGTACTTGAATCCATGTTTAGGGCTTTGCTTCTAGAAACCCAATATGAGACCAACAGTATTAAGGGCAACAATGAAAATAACACTAGGCCATGTGTGGCAGCTCACACCTGTAATCCCAGAACTTTAGGAGGCCAAGGTGGGAGGATCACTTGAGCCCAGCAGTTTAAGACCAGCTTGGGCAACATGGTGAAACCCCATCTCTACAAAAAAAATACAAAAAAAAGTTAGCCAGGCATGGTAGAGTGTGCTTGTCATACGAGCTACATGGGAGGCTGAGGTGGGAGGATCACTTGAGCCTGGGAGGCAGAGGTTGCAGTGAGCTGAGATGGCACTACTGCGCTAAGCAAGACCTTGTCTCAAAATAAGAAAGAAAGGAAGAGAAAGAAAGGAAAGGAGGAAAGCAGGAAAGAAGGGAGGGAGGGAGAGAGGGAAAAAGGAAGGAAGGAAGAAGGAAGGAAGGAAATAACACTAACATTAGCGAACAGCAATGATGGATGTAGACCACAGAATCAAACCAAACCCCAGACAGGAGTGAGCCTAGGAAGCACTTTGAATCTTGTGGCTATCTCACTTTATTTCCATAGCTGCCCTGTAAGATGGGAAGGTCAAGTATGGTCATCCTTATTTTACAAATGAGGCCCAGAGATCAGAGGTGACTTGACTGGGATTGTACCTGGTGGAGCCAGGTATAAGCAATGGGGACTCCTGGTCAGAAGCTCTTTTCCACCAGCCACTCTGCTGCTTTCACCAGGCTGGCTTAATCATCAGTCCAGTGTAAAGAAGAATGCTGCTTTGGAAGATCTGGTTTATTTTATTTAAAAAATTTTTATTATGATTATTTTTTTGAGACAGAGTCTATGTTGCCCAGGCTGGAGTACATTTGCACAATCCTGGCTCATTGCAATCTCCACCTCCCAGGTTCAAGCAATTCTTCTGCCTCAGCCTCCCAAGTAGCTGGGCCCACAGGTGCACGCCACCATGCTGGGCTAATTTTTCTATTTTTAGTTGAGGCAGGTTTTCAGCATATTGGCCCAGCTGGTCTTAAACTCCTAACCTCGTGATCTGCCCGCCTCGGCCTCCAAAAGTGCTGGGATTACAGGTATAAGCCACTGTGCCTGGCTGGGGGGATCTGGTTTAAAGTGCAGGAGGCAGAGGAATGTCAGAGAGACCCGGCTGGAGCTAGAGGGCTGACAAGTCCCTGATATGAAAACATCAGGACATGGAATCTGTGCCCTGATGAGCTGACAAGATCCACCTGTGGGTTGATATGTTCCCCCAGGAATGACATAAAGCTTGTTTCATAATTTCAAAATCATTTTAGAAATATTTTGTTGTTAATAAGGAATTTTACAGACAGGAATTTGATTTGATGGTGCAAATAGACACATGCATGTGACTTGCTTTCCATGGGTACCTAGCTGATTCTGGGATTTGTCAGTCATCTTGCCATCCTGCGCTCCCCAAGCACAGGCTCCTAGCAGGTTTGAACCTCAAAGGACTCCTGTCCCTGCAGAAGAGTGGGCAGGGCCCAGAACCAGGAACTTTCCAGATTTGGGAGTTCTGCCAGATTCTGGTCCTATCCTTTACGCACTTTATGACCTTGGGTAAATGATTTTGCCTCATCTAAAAAAGGAGTTTCATGATAGTGACCTTGTGGGGCTGCTGAAGTACTGAAGATAAACATTAGGAGGAAAAAATAGTTAAGATAAATAAGCTCATGAAAAATGCTCACCTTCAGTAGAAGTCAGAGAAATGCAAATTAAAGCAATGAGAGCATTTCACACCCTAACTTGGGCAGACGTTTCAAAGATTGGTAATCACAAGAACTGGCAAAGATAAAGCAAAAAGAGACTTCTTGTCCTTCTCACTGTGTGGCTGGTGGGAGTATACATGGGCATAGCCTTTCTAGAAGGCGGCTTGGCAGTTACCGTCAACTATAAATGCATATGCCCTTGAATTTAGCAATTTCACCTCTAAGAATCTATCTTACTGAAATATTCATGCATGTGCAGGAATATATGTGTGGAGGACACAACTTGAATTTTTTTTTTTCTTTTTTTAGATACGAAGTCTTGCTCTGTTGCCCAGGCTGGAGTGCAGTGGAACGATCACAGCTCACTGCAGTCTCTATCTCCTGGGCTCAAGCAGTCCTCCCACCTCAGGCTCCCATGCAGCTGGACTGTAGGCACACACTGCCACATCCAGCTTCAGGTACAACTTTTAATAATGAAAAACCAGAAACAATCTAGATTTCATCACTGTGGGTAACAAATCATAGCATCTCCACACTAGGAACAACACCAGGCAGCAGTCACACTGAACGAGGAAGGCCTCTATTCCCTTTTGTTAACAGATCTTCATGAAAGAGACAAAGTATAAATAACATCTACATTACAATTTGATTAATGATTAAAAAACAAAACAAACCCCTGTAAATATAAATTTAAATAGCAAGAAAAGCCCAGCTACTCGGGAGGCTGAGGTAGCAGGATGGCTTGAGACCAGGAGCTCAATCTCAGCCTGATCCATATAGTGAGACCTCATCTTAAAAAAAAAAATTTAATTAAAAAAGAATGACAAGAGGGCCAGGCGCAGTGGCTCACACCTCTAATCCCAGCACTTTGGGAGGCCGAGGCTGGTAGATCACCAGGTCAAGAGATCAAGACCATCCTGGTCAACATGGTAAAACCCCGTCTCTACTAAAAATATAAAAATTAGCTGGGCATGGTGGCGCATGCCTGTAGTCCCAGCTACTTGGGAGGCTGAGGCGGGAGAATTGCTTGAACCCAGGAGGCGGAGGTTGCCATGAGCCAAGATCACACCACTGCACTCCAGCCTGGGTAACAAGAGCAAAACTCCATCTCAAAAAAAAAAAAAAAAAAAAGAAAAAGGAAAAAAAAGAAAGGGATTGTGTTGAAATATGCCTTTGTAATATTGGACCTTATATAAAGTTGAAGTCCTGATTTATGTAATTAAAATTAAAAGTAAGGCCAGGTGCAGTGGCTCACACCTATAATCCCAGCATTTTGGGAGGCTGAGGTGGGAGGATCACTTGAGGCTAGGCGTTTGAGACCAGCCTGGCCAACATGGTAAGACCCTGTCTCTACTAAAAACACAAAAATTGGCCGAGTGCGGTCACACACACCTGTAATCCCAGCTACTCAGGAGTCTGAGGCACGTTAATAGCATGAACCCGGGAGGCTGAGGCTGCAGTGAGCCGAGAGTGTGCGCTGCACTCCAGCCTGGGTAACAGAGCGAGACTCTGTCTCAAATAAATAAGTAAATAAAAATAAAAGTGAAAGAAAGGGAAAAGTCAAAATAAAGAGTGCAGCAGAGCGGCATATGGTAGGTGGTGGCTGGCTGCATGAAGTGAACTATAATGGGGAGTGACGATCAATGATTGCTTTTCCTGTCCTCCTCCTTTTGATTGAAGGACTCACAATTTTCCCATGGGAACCACTCTTAGTTCCTCCCTCTTGGTTCCTGGGTTTGAGCAGGCTCCAGGGATGGGCACATGACTCATATCTGGCCAATCCACTGTAATTGCTAAGCTCTAAGATACAAGCATGAAAATGACGGTTGCCATATTTGGGAACAGCTAGCTTAAGAGTAAAGCTAGCACAGAGGAAAGCAGGCCTGACAGACTAAGGCAGACAGAAAGATCTAGTTCCCACTGCATTCTCTAAGTGCCTGGATCCAGCTATACCTGAAGGAGATACTGCACCAGACCTCTCTGGATGAGCACCTAGATCCAGCTATATAGCTGAAGGAGATCCTGCTTCTGAATCATTTCTGTAGCAACTCTCCCTTGTGGGTGGAGGCGTTTGAGAGGTGGGAGCGGATAGTGCTGAGGGAGAGGATGAGGGTGAAGAGTATTAACTTGTGTGCTGTATTTTATATTCCATTGTCTTAGAATTGTTTTATTTTTGTTCTGTGGACCTGTCCATTATGGCCCTAAATTGTCAAGGGCCGTAAGATATGAGCATGCTGGCAGGTGTGAGTCTCACCTGGCTTAGGCGGTTCTGTAGCTCCTTCAACTGCTGCTCCACCTGCTGCTTCTCACCCTGCAGCCGCTCCACCAGCTGCAGCTTCTCCTGGCTCCAGTTCCGCTCACTGATCTGCAGCTGCCTTGTTAGTTCCATGACAGCGCTGTAGGACTCAGCCAGGAGGTGCTGCTGCTCCTCACGCTCCCTCTGTAGGGCGGCCTTCCAGTCGGGCCCTGCCCGCTCCCCGGCCCCCTTCCCTGCCTTCAGCTCCATCTGAGGGAAAGAAGCAGACTGGGCAGCTGGCACCAGGAGGCCACTCCTCTCAGCCCTCCTCTCTCCTTCCCTCCTGGGTGCCAGCAGGGGAAAAGGGGAGAAGTCCCCTCAGAAGACCCCTCACCAGGGACTAACCCAGCTTAGTCCTCCTCACTCAGAACTAACCCCTAACCCCTCCATGCAATAAGGGTTTGAAGAGCTCTTTTTTTTTTTGGTTTTGTTTTGAGATGAAGTTTCGCTTTTGTTGCCCAGGCTGGAGTGCAATGGCACGATCTCGGCTCACTGCAACCTCTGCCTCCTGGATTCAAGCAATTCTCCTGTCTCAGCCTCCCAAGTAGCTGGGATTACAGGCATGTGCCACCACACGCAGCTAATTTTTTGTATTTTTAGTAGAGATGGGGTTTCTCCATGTTGGCCAGGCTGGCCTCGAACTCCAAACCTCAGGTGATCCACCCATCTCGGCCTCCTAAAGTACTGGGATTACAGGCATGAGCCACCATGCCCGGCTGAAGAGCTCTTTCTATAAACCAAGTTCTGTGCTGTGGGCTTTTCAGGGATGATGTCAGTATCCTCATGAAAACTCTGCAAGATTACTATCAGTATCCATATTTTATAGAGGAGGGAGAAGTTCAAAGGGGTTATTTGTTCACACAGCGAAATCATGGACTGGTTCCTAGTCATTGCTTCTTATGATATCCCATCAACTCTTACCAGCAGTATGGGTTTGGGTTGATGGGGAACATGTTTTATATCCCCTCCTAGCAAGCTGGGGGCCTCGCCTTGCCTCCCACAGGCCTGCATGGGGACATGCACACAGTCACATGTGCAGTGGTCACTCCAGCAAGATGGCTTTCTCGGCCCCTGACCTCAGGGTGGCAGGAAGGGGAATGTGCAACCTTTAGACTCAATGTCCCCTTTTATCCCCAGTGGGCTGGTCAGGTTCTTGGTGGGAGGAGCACCTGAAATGCCCAGGTCTGTGGGGACAGTGGGTGGAACAGACACTGTGGAATGTGCAGATGGACGGAGCTGAGAGATCTGCAGAGAGAGTTAGGAGGGGAGAGCGGTGGCCCCGGAAGTATACAGGAGACTGTGAGCAGTGGGAAGAAGTGGAATTGGGGCCGGGTGCAATGGCTCATGCCTATACTCCCAGCACTTTAGAAGGGTGAGGCAGGCGGATCACTTAAGATCCGAAGTTCAAAATTAGCCTGGCCAACATGGTAAAACCCCATCTCTACTAAAAATACAAAAATTAGCTGGGCGTGGTGGCATGCCACCTGTAATTCCAGTTACTTTGGGGGCTGAGGCAGGAGAATCACTTGAACCCAGGAGGTGGAGGTTGCAGTCAGCCAAGATTGCACCCCTGCTCTCTAGCCTTTGAGAGTGAGATTCCATCTCAAACACAAACACACACACACACACACACAAATGGAGGCAGAACTGGGGTCACAGGGAGCCAGGGGTTAGAGGTTTGGGGGAGCAAGGGTCAGTCTGCCACTTATTAGCTGGGTGTCCTTCGGAGAGAAATTTAACTCCTCTATGCCAGTTCTGTCATCTGTCCAGCAGAGACCATTGGAGTGTCTGCCTCCCAGGGGCTGGTGATGCCCGGGAAGGCAGCTTGCAGTAGGCGCAAGCTGGATGGAAAAAGCTGGAGCCCGAGCTGTGGTATCAGATCATCCTCTCCAAGTGGGAGGAAGCCCACCCTCTCACTTTTCAGGCCAAAGGAGAGCAAGTAACCCTCAAGTACGCAACAGACACCAAACCCCCAGGGTTCCTGGTTAAGGCTCCTTTGGGCATCCTGGGGAGTTGTGAGGGGAGGCCCCCAGTTTGAGTGGAGAGAGCAAAACAGAGCCAGGCAGAGGGGGCTAAGGGAGTGCTTATGAGGAAAGGAAGGAACAGATGAGAAGAGCTGGCAGTGAGTCTGCACGCTAGCTTCGCCTGTGAGCCCATGGTGCAACAGAGGTGCCTGTGATGCTCCCGTGCCTCTTTGCCAATTGCCCACCTTCCTTCCCTGCCCCATTCCCCACCATTTCTGATCCTCTTGCTGTGTGACTTTAGGAAAGTCTCTTGCCCTCTCTGGCAAGCGAAGGGGTTCTTATTCCTCTAGGAGCATCACCTTGGCATCCTACTCCCAGATCCGACAGCTAAAGGCCTGGCTGAGGGCAAGGGGAGAGGCCTCTGACAGGTGGGGGGCTCACCTGGGTGGTATGGCCCTTGAGCTCTGCCCGCTCTGTCTCCCAGGTAGCCTTGGCCTTGGCAAACTGTTGCTGAAGCTCCGTCAGACCACGGCGTTCATCCCGGAGCAGCCAGCACAGCTCCTTCAGCGTCACCTTCATGTCGGCCAGTGTCTTGATGTACTCATTGGGCTGCAGGCAGGATGCAAAGCCTGAGTCAGGAGCCTCCAGGGGTCGGGGGAGGGGACCTGGGCTCAGAAAACTCACCTACAAGTCCAGCTCCGACTCTACGAGGCCTTGGGCAAGTCCCACGACCTCTCTAGGTCATCTCACCCATAAAACGGGAAGGACAAGCCTAGCCCTGCTGCCTCCTAGGCTGACATGATTCCTAAATCTGACACTAACAAAATCCTGCAGTTAGAGTAATCATTACTCAGCCTAACTCTGAGCTGAATCATCTGGCTTCTTCTTCAAGGCTCAGCAGGGTCTGAGCTTTGGGTCTTTCTCCTCACTCAGGATCTGCCGCTCTGATCCACTGCAGGCCACATGTGGGGTCTAATGCATGGAGACCCTCAGTTTGCCTGACTCCATCCCAAATCTCTCCTGGGCCCATGCCCTCATTTCCCATCCCTACCCCAGCTCACCCTGTGTGACCCTGGGATCCCGACCCCACTGCTCTCTCTGACTTATGGCTTGATTTGAGGGTTCCTGACCCTAGATCACAAGGCCCCTCTTCAGATGACCCTAGCCTGATGTCCCTGCCCTCACCATACTCAATACCAAGCCATACTCAATACTGGAATACCTTGCCACATCTCTGCACACATAGTTCTCTTGGTCCAGAATAGTCTTTCCCCATTCTGTATTAGGTAAACTCCTATACAACCTTCAAAACCCATCAACCATGACATGACCCTTTCTCTGTGATACTGTCCCTTATACTCCAAAGAGAATTAATTGCTGTCTTGCTTATGATCCCACAGTCCATCATCTGGACTCTGTCACTGCCCTTGGAAGACCAGGCAATAACCCTCTGCAGCTCCAGTGTCCAGGGATGGAGTCAGAGAAAGCAGCAGGAATTGATCACTGAGCAGACCAAAGGAATGAATGGACACAACAGGACAGGGAAGGGGATAGGGGCACACACCGTGTTCTGGGTCCAGCTATCCCCCGTGCAGGCCTTGTTATCAGAATGCTGAGCGTTTATCTCTTCTTCCTCCATCAGCAGGTACAGCTCCTTCATGCTGTTCACCTGTTTGTTAAAAACCATGCTTAACAGCGGGTGGGAAGTTTTCCCAAGTTTTAATTTCAACCTTGGGCACCATGTAGGTTGAGAAGCATGGCTGGACAGTCAGGCCCTCCTAGCCTCCCATGACATCGACTCTGCCCCAAAGACCAGGAAGCAGCCCTGACAGTCACTCTGAAAGAACCATGTTGACAGGCTGGGCCAAGGCAGGCACTGTGGGTGAAATGAAAAGGCCACAAGCACTCCCATGACACTACATAAAGGCGACCAAAGGTTTGCCTGGACAGAAGGGACCTTGCTGGGTAGGGGTTGGATTTATTGCTGATGGATTCTGGGCAGGTGTCCAGGGCCAGCCAAGGAGATCAGGGACCTAGTGCAGGATGGAAATGAAGCAAAAGGAAGTGAGCCACCTTCTGTGCTCAAGCAATCCTCCTGCCTTAGCCTCCCCAGATGCTGGGATTCTAGGTGCAAGCTACTGTGCCCAGCATGATTACACTGATATCTTATTAACCATACCTATTTTGGTAAATGTATATATTTCCTAACTATAGGCATATATGTTACGTAATTTTTTGTGTCTCTTTTTTTTTTTTTTTAAAGACAGAGTCTTACTGTGTCACTAGGCTGGAGTACAAAGGCATGAACTTGGCTCACTGCAACCTCTGTCTCCCGGGTTCAAGTGATTCTCCTGCCTCAGGCTCCCGAGTAGCTGGGACTACTGGTGCACACCACCACTGCCAGCTAATTTTTGTATTTTTAGTAGACACAGGGTTTCACCATGTTGGCCAGGCTGGTCTCGAACTCCTTACCTCAAGAGATCTGCCCACCTTAGCCTCCCAAAGTGCTGAGACTACAGGTGTAAGCCACCGCACCTGGCCCATTTTCTATGTTTACACCCTTTTTTTCCTAAAGTAAGTTTCTCTCATTTACTCTAGGATATGGAAATGGCTAGAAAGGTTTTCACCAAATGCGGAGGGTTTGTCTGAGACAAACTGACTTAAAACATAGACTGTGTGGCCTGTAGGTCACTCACTTAAGCTGAGCTTCATCCAGAGGCCTGTGAGACTTCCAAACAGCTGGGAGGGCTCCTGTTTCCAAACATCACAGAAGAGACCCCTTCAGACAGGAGGCCCGAGGCAGATGTTCCCAGGGGCAGCCCTGCTGGGCCCTTGAGCTTCCTCTCCCGTGGGTGCCTCTGTGTCAGGCACTGCAGGGCCAGGGAAGCAGGGCCAGGGAAGCAGGGCGTGGGCCCATGGAATGGTGATAGAGACTCTCCCATGAGGCCCTGGGGAGGAGCTAGTGGCCTGCAAGAATGAGCCCCACTGAGATGGGGTGATGCAGGGTCTCACTACACACCCAGGTCTGTCATGCCTGGCCCCTGGGGCATCTGGGCTCCTCTGGGGTACCCCTGATGGCGTTATGTGGCAACTTGAGGCATGCCAGTGGTCCCTACTGCCTCTGGAAAGGGGCCTGCAGAGAGTAGCTTGGACCAGAGGAGCGCCAAGCATGGGCTACACTCGAGGTACCTGAACCCAGAAAAACAAGGCCAAAGTGAGCAATGTCAACTAAGATGAGTATGACCAAGGTCTGACATCCTTACAAGTCCCCTTCTCCATGCCACTGCTGTGCTGATGACAGGAGGCAGGGGCTCTGAGCAGCAAAGGGTCCTGCACAGTCTAGGGCATGAATGGGCCAGGTGGATCCCTTCCAAGCTTCATACATGCTCAAAGCTCCACCCCACGTTTCTGCCACATCCTAACACTACTGTACTATCATCAGTGTTTTTAAGCCAGCCTCCTGCCTTTAGTTAAATAAACATATCTTTCAGCCGGGCATGGTGGCTCATGCCTGTAATCCCAGCACTTTGGAAGGCCGAGGCGGGCAGATCACTTGAAGTCAGGAATAGGAATTCAAGTCCAGCCTGGCCAACGTGGAGAAACCCTGTCTCTACTAAAAATACAAAAATTAGCTGGGCATGGCGGCATGTGCCTATAATCCCAACTACTCAGGAGGCTGAGGCAAGAGAATTGCTTAAATCCTGGAGGCAGAGGTTTCGGTGAGCTGAGATAGTGCGACTGCACTCCAGCCTGGGCAACAGAGTGAGAATTCTGTCTCAAAAAAAAAAAAAAAAAAAAAAAAAAAAAATTCTAGGAAGGGGCACACAGGAGCCTCCCAGGGCACTAAACATAAATGTATACTTGTACCTTATACTACTACAACAAAACTGGATTACGACATTCACCTTGATACCGTGGCTGCCGAGGACTGTGTTAAAGACCTGTGAGCCCCGAGGATCCTTTCTCCTGTTGGAGCCAGGACCAAGCTTGCCATCTTCCTCATGGTATCCCCAGCAAGCACCCTCTAATGCCCAGTAAAGACCAACGAATGCAGGGAAGGAAGCCTGCAAGCTGATGGCAGGTATGTGAGCCTAGGAGCTGTGTCAGTATCAGCTGGGTGTCCCTTCCTTGTCCCTCTCTCCACAGCCCACATGTCCCAGTCCCAGGTCCAATCTTACCTCGAGGAAGTCATCCCCCTCACTGGGCAAAACCTTGCCCTGCCGCCAGCGCTTGAGGAACCACCTGAGCTTCATGAAGAGCAGCAGGAAGTTGTGCTTGAACTGCTGGGACTCTTGAACCAGCATGTTCTTCTCCTGGCTCCAGAATTTCTGCTCCAGCCTCCTCTGGAGGCTCAGACTCTGCAGCTCAAACTCCCGCCTCAGGAGCGCCCTCTGCTGGTCCTCCTTCAGCTGCGGGGGACAACAGCTTGAGCAACACCAGGACCCTACCCTCTCCCCTGCCCTATTTCCAGGTCCCTGAACAGGGGCAGGGAGGAGAGTCTGGGTGGTGCCTGTGGGTGATTCCTGCCAGGGATCCCACCACGTGTGGTGCAATCTATTCAGATGAGCTCTGCCCTTTGCTACTGGAGCCACAGTGACACATCAGTGAAAGAGCTGGGATTTGACTCTGGCTCTGACTAAAAAAACCATGACATCATATACTGAGCACCTCCTGGGCACCAAATGTCTCACATGAACTTTCATGTTCAATGAGGAACCGGTGAGGGTGAACTTTGATAGCAGGGATGGGTGACACATAGAGAGCAGAAGGTGTGCCAGGGTTGAGGACGGCTGATGACTATGTGCCACCCTAAGAAGCAATGCAGTATCATGGCTAACAGAGGGACCTGGATTAGAGGCCCGGCCCGCTGAGATCTGGGTGTGCAACCCTGGACAGAGCACTCCGGCTCTCTGGGCATCAGTTTTCTCATCCATAAAATGGCTTATAAGGAGGGCATGAGGATTAAAGGACATAATGGATGGAAAGTGCATTGTATGGGCCAGCATACAGTACGGGCTTAACACATGTTATTCCAGAACTATTATCTGGATTAGGAGCCAGGCCTGGCAAGGGCACCATTTCATAAATGGGAGACTGAGGTCCTGGGAGAAAACAGGACTGGCCCCAGGTCCCACAGGCAGCAAGTGATACCCCTGTCACACGGCTAATGTACAATTGCAAGTACAGTAACATCCCAGCAGGGCACAGGGGCTCAACTCAGGTTTCCCCTGACATTCTTTTTTTGTTTGTTTGTTTTGAGAGCACTCTCTTGCCCAGGCTGGAGTGTGGTGGTGTGATCTTGGCTCACTGCAACCACTGCCTCCCAGGTTCAATCGATTTTCCTGCCTCAGCCTCCTGAGTAGCTGGGATTACAGGCATGCACCAACATACCTGGTTAATTTTTGTATTTTTAGTAGAGATGGGGTTTCACCATGTTGGCTATGCTGGTTTCTAACTCCTGGCTTCAATTGATCCACCTGCCTTGGCTTCCCAAAGTGTTGGGATTACAGGCATGAGCCACTGTGCCCAGCCTCGCCTGACATTCTTGATTTTGGAGGGCCCACAGATGCTCAAGGCCTCTGCCTGCAGCTCAGAGAGGCTGTAGAGATAGGTGCCTGGAAAGCGCTGGGCACCACGCACCTGGATCATTTTCTGGTTGAAACTGTCAGCCTCCTCCTTTCGTAGCTGCCGCTCCTGGGAGAGCTGCTCTTGCAAACCCCGGAGGCTGTCGTGGGCCTCAGCCAGCACCAGCTGCAGCTCCTTGATCTGCAGTGCAGACAGTGACACAGATAACGAGAAGGGAGAGAGAGGAAGAAGTGGATAGAAATTGTGATCTGAGGATAACAGTGGTAGGGGAACAATGGGAAGTTGGACCCAAGCTGTCCAAGTACAAATCAGGCACAATGACTGTCCCTACCTCAGAGAGTCATCATGCAATTAAATGAAACAGTAGATATCGAATCCAGCTTTCGTTATCATTAGAAGTTGTTCTTTTCTCTTTGAAATTTATCTTAATAATGTACTGGGAAAACTGAGTTATGAAGTTTGATTCACAAAGATGTTCATTGTTTCATTGTTTATAATTGCAACATTTAGGAAACAACTTAGATACTAAATGGTGGGAATTAAAAGATGTTTAATGGATCTATACATATGTAACAATCCATTCAGTGGTACCCTTAAGGAGGATGTCCTTTATTGTATGTATATTATAGTATACTTCAACAGAAAGTTAAAAAATAAAACCAAAAAAGCTATAGACCTCCATAGAAAAATATGTAAAGAACGTGGACACACACACTAAATGTGAACAGTGGGAACTATGTGAAGACATTCAGACCTCCAATCTTGACTTCTTTCTTTCTTTATTTTGCAACAGAGTTTCCCTCTTGTTGACCAGGCTGAAGCACAATGGTGCAATCTTGGCTCACTGGAACCTCTGCCTCCCAGGTTCAAGCGATTCTCCTGACTCAGCCTCCCAAGTAGATGAGATTACAGGGGCCTACTACCACGCATGGCTAATTTTTTGTCCTTTTAGTAGAGACAGGGGATTCACCATGTTGTTGGCCAGGGTGGTCTCGAACTCCTGACCTCAGTTGATCCACCTGTCCTGGCCTCCCAAAGTGCTGGGATTACAGGCGTGAGCCACTGCGCCCAGTCAACTTCCTTCTTTATATCTTTATGCAATGCTGCTTAGGGGTTTTGTTATAGTTATTTATTGTTTACAAAAACTGTAGGATCTTTTTAAAAAGGTAATAAAACTATAGTTTTTGGGGAAATTGTGTTTAAAAATATTTGTAACTAAGCAGGCAAAACCAATCTATTCTGTTAGAAGTCAGATGGTTACTAGAAGAGAGTATAGGGAATTCTGGGGGCAGGTCATGCCGTGTTATTGATCTGAGTGTTGACAGCATAGTAGCATTTAGTTTGTAAGAAGTAACTGAGCTGCCAACTTACAAAATGAACACTTTTCTCTAAGTGTATTATACCTCAATAATTTTGTTGTTTGTTTGTTTTTTGAGATGGAGTCCTGCTCTGTCACCCAGGCTGGAGTGCAGTGGTATAATCTCAGCTTACTGCAACCTCTGCCTCAGGTTCAAGCGATTCTCCTGTCTCAGCCTCCCAAGTAGCTGGGACTACAGGTATGTACTATCATGCGTGGGTAATTTTTGTAATTTTAGTAGAGACAGGATTTCACCACGTTGGCAAGGCTGATCTCAAACTCCTGACCTCAGGTGATCTGCCTGTCTCGGCCTCCCAAAGTGCTGGGATTACAGGCGTGAGCCACCGCACCCGGCCAAAAATTTTAAAAGTACTTCTAGTAACAGAGAAATACGTACATCGTCACATTAAGCAAGGGAAAAAAAGAAGGAGAATGTCAGTCCCAACTTGTTGTTTTTTTTTTTTCTTTTTCTGAGACAGGATCTCATTCTGTCACCCAGGCTGGAGCGAAGATGGCTCACTGCAGCCTCGACCGCCCATGCTCAAGCAATCTTCCCACCTCAGCCTCCCGAGCAGCTGGGACTACAGGTGTGCACCACCACACCCGGCTAATTTTTACATACTTTTTGTAGAGATGGGGTTTTGCCATGTTTCCCAGGCTCATCTTGAACTCCTAGGCTCAAGCAATCTGCCCACCTTGGCCTCTCAAAGTGCTGAAATTACAGGTGTGAGTCACCATGACTGGCCGCAGAACTCCTACATAAAAGCTTCGTAGGTGTGGCAAATGTCCCTCCGTGAAAGTAAACATTCATTACATGGTCAATAATATGATGATTCAGCAGTGGCAGGCATAGTGACCTGAGGTATATCTTCTATATGTACTTTGCACGAAACATTTTTGCACAGCTACAAACTGTCTGCTGCCTCTGGTATCCTCCTTGAACTCAGTGTTCAACAGTGTTGGGCAATTGTCACTGCTCAATAGAGTGGCTGAATGAAACAAATAATTGAATGTGTATAGGAAATTATTTTCTCTAAAGGTAAGCCTATAGAATAGGCCTATTTCCTGGCCAGGCGTGGTGGCTCATGCCTCTCATCCCAGCATTTTGAGAGGCTGAGGTGGGAGGATCACTTGAGCCTAGGAGTTTGAGACCAGCTTGGGCAACATGGCAAAACCTGGTCTCTACTAAAAGAACAAAAATTAGCTGGGCATGGTGGCGTACACCTATAGTCCCACCTAATCAGGAGGGCTAAGGCATGAGATTCGCTTGAACTTAGGATGTGGAGGTTACAGTGAGCCAAGATTGCACCACTGCACACTGCATTCCAGACTGGGCAACACAGCAAGACTCAGTCTTAAAAAAAAAAAAAAAAAGGCCTATTTCCTTTTTTTAGAAAATGAGAACTGTTATCTCAGTTTTTTCTCTTTTTGCCATGGCTTCTAGGAGGCTCACTTAGAGAGTCTGATCCGCCAGCTTCAAGCAAGCTTTTCCTTCCTACATAGTCATGGTCTGGCCTTCCTGGGACCACTGAGTTATCTTCCAAGGGATGCTCAGAAATGTGCTCAGGCTGGAGAACACACAGGACTCTGAATGGTTCAGGGTTTCAGGGATACCCCACCCACTCTATAGGAAGCTTTTCCTGCTTCAGGCTCATTATGAAAAACAAGGAGAAGGCCGGGCACGGTGGCTCAAGCCTGTAATCCCAGCACTTTGGGAGGCTGAGGCGGGTGGATCACGAGGTCGAGAGATCGAGACCATCCTGGTCAACATGGTGAAACCCCGTCTCTACTAAAAATACAAAAAACTAGCTGGGCATGGTGGCGCGTGCCTGTAATACCAGCTACTCAGGAGGCTGAGACAGGAGAATTGCCTGAGCCCAGGAGGCGGAGGTTGCGGTGAGCCGAGGTCGCGCCATTGCACTCCAGCCTGGGTAACAAGAGCGAAACCCCGTCTCAAAAAAAAAAAAAAAAAAAAACAAGGAGAAGCTCAGTAGGCTTAGAAGGACTCAGAACTACCCAGAATTCCCCAAGGATCAAAGAATCCTAGCAATTCAATAGCTACCATTCGCTCTAACCCTCCCATGTTACAGATGGGGAAGCTGTGGCCAGAAGGTGGAAAGCTGTTGAAGGTCACACAGCAACACTGGTAGAATTGAGAATTGAGCTCAGGTCCCCTGAGTCCCAAAGACGTGTCATTATCATCATAATAATCATCCTCCTCCTCATCATCCTCTTCCTCACCCAATGTGGACCAGGCCTTAATCTATGGCTTTTTGCGTATTTAATCCTTTCAACAACCCTATGAGGCACCTTCATTTTACAGGTGAGAAAACTGAGAATCAGAGAGGTAAAATGACTTCTCTAAGATCTCACAGCCAGTATAGAGTGGATCCACAATTGAAACCCAAACTGCCCAACTAGAGAGACTGCTGCCTTCCTGCTACAAAAATGAGTAGTTCCATTAAGTGGCATAAATTGTCAAATTCTCAGTAGAATTTAGTAAGGGGGGATAAAGCAATTTATGCAGATGAGTTTATAAGTTTTTATATCAGTCCATGAGAATGTCCCAACTTCCTTATTTCCTGTCTTGCCCTGACTGCCAGGAAGCTTGGAACCAAATGGAATGGCCAAAACTCATATCCTCACCAGCTAAGTGATATATGGATCACTCTGCTTTTGAGAGGCCTCAGCAACTCTCCTCCTACCCAATCCCCTGCTTGCTCAGGTCTAGACCCACCTCAGAGGCATAGGAATCATTGTCTTCAGCTCGGTAAGGCCTGAAGCTCCGACTGGGGTCCGGCTTGGAGTCCAAGTCACCAGTGCGGAAGGCCTCTCGGATCCTGGGCTCCCATTCCGGCAGGTCCCTGAAGTCAGGCGGCTGCATCTAGAGGCACAGGCAGAACAAACCAAAGATCACTATGGGGAGGGGCCCAACGGGTGCCAGATACACCCACCCCAGGCCTCTGGGCTCAATGAGAAGCCTGAGCTACCCACCTGAGGGCTGGGACCCTGGCAGAGTCACCTCTGCAGCTCAGACCCAGCCCTGGCTGGGGGCACTGCTGTCATTCAATGAATGAATGTTGAAAGGATGAATGAGTAGGTAAGTGGGGAGTGATTTTGTGAATGTGTGTCTTGTGCACAAACCTTCTGAGTCAGCCCCAACTGTCCTATCGCATGTGTGACCTCTGTTCATTCCTCTTTCAAGAAGAACCAAGAGGGAGATAACACAAAGCAGTCTATGGGCACAGTGGCATGTGCCTGCATGCCTGTAATTCCATCTACAATTTGAGGCTGCATCAAACTATGATCATGCCACTGCACTCCAGCCTGGGCAACAGAGCAAGTCTGTTTCTTTAAAAAAAAAAAAAAAAAAAAATTTATCCTCAAGGAGAGCAGCAAAACAAACAAACAAAAAGAAAAAAAAATTTTTTTAAAGCCAGGAACAGTGGCTCAAGCCTGTAATCCCAGCATTTTGGGAGGCCAAGGCAGGTAGATCACAAGGTCAAGAGATCGGACCATCTTGGCCAACATAGTGAAACCCCATCTCTATTAAAAAAATACAAAAAATAGCTGGGTGTGGTGGTGTGTGCATGTAGTCCCAGCTACTCAAGAGGTTGAGGCAGGAGAATCGCTGAAACCCAGGAGGGGGAGGTTGCAGTGAGTCGAGAGCATGCCACTGTCTACCATAATGACAGAGACTCTGTCTCAAAAAAAATACATAAATTTTTTTTTTAAAAGGCAGTCTGCTCAGCCGGGCACAGTGGCTCAAGCCTGTAATCCCAGCACTTTGGGAGGCCGAGGCGGGTGGATCACGAGGTCAAGAGATCGAGACCATCCTGGTCAACATGGTGAAACCCCGTCTCTACTAAAAATACAAAAAAGTAGCTGGGCATGGTGGCACATGCCTGTAATCCGAGCTACTCAGGAGGCTGAGGCAGAAGAATTGACTGAACCCAGGAGGTGGAGGTTGCGGTGAGCCGAGATCGCACCATTGCACTCCAGCCTGGGTAACAAGAGCGAAACTCCATCTCAAAAATAAAAAAGGCAGTCTGCTTGCCTAAAAAAGCAAGATGAAGCCAGATCAACAGGGCATGGGTTAAAGAAATTATGGCACATATCTACTGTACAGTTGTTAAAAAGAAAGTACTAAATCTCTTTCTTTCCCTGGAAATGAAAAACTCCCTGCCATTGCTCTGAGGATGAAGATCAAACCTCCCCCATGCTCAGTGCAGGGCAGCTTCACGGTGTCTCTTCACTCAGTGCCCTGGACACACCACACTCCTTCAGCCTCTGATCTGAGCTGTGCCTTTACACAGGCTCTTTCCTCTGCAGAAAACACTGTTGCCCCAGCCAGCCATCCTTCTGACCTCTGGTCAGATCAGAGGCCTTCCCTCAGCATAGGGTCTAGGTCAAGTTCCTTGTTCATAAAATCATGTACCTTTCCTTTAGATTCCTCTCTCAGTTTATAACTGCACATTCACTAGCATGATATTTTGGGCAACTCTGCCCCACTAGATAATAAGGGCCATGAGAAGGGGGAATCATATCTGTTTCTGCTTGTCATGACACCTTCAGCAGTGAGCACAAAAAGTGTGTGAACAACAAACAAGGCATCATAATGAACAAACTGATACACTGTGTAAAAAATAAGTTGTATAGTAACAGTAGATATAAAACAATCTATGTGGAAAAACAAATATATGATAGTATATGGAGAGCAGGATTTAGAAGGGCAAGCTTCAAGGATGAACTATTCTAGATCCACTCCATTAGACAAACACAAATACTGCACATTTAAAATGTGACTATTAGGCCGGGCACAGAGGCTCACACGTATAGTCGTAACACTTTAGGAGGCTGAGGCCGGTGGATCACTTGAGCTCAGGAGTTCAAGACCAGCCTAGGCAACATAGCAAGATCCCATCTCTACAAAAAAAAATTTAAAAATTATGGCCAGGTATGGTGGCTCATGCCTGTAATCCCAGAATTTGGGAGGCAAAGGTGGTTGGATCATTTGAGGTCAGGAGTTCGAGACCAGCCTGGCCAACATGGTGAAACCCCATCTCTACTAAAAATATCAAAAGTTAGCTAGGCATGGTGGAAGGGGCCTGTAATCCTGGCTACTTGGGAGGCTGAGGCAGGAGGACTGCTTGAACCCAGGAGGCAGAGATGACAGTGAGCTAAGATTGCACCACTGTACTCCAGACTGGGTGACAAAGCGAGACTGTCTCAAAAAAAAAAAAAAAAAAAAAAAAGCTAGATGCAGTGGCTCATGTCTATAATCCCAGCACTTTGGGAGGCAGAGGCAGGTGGATCACCTGAGGTCAGGAGTTCAAGACCAGCCTGGCCAATGGTGAAACCCCATCTCTACTAAAAAATACAAAATTAGCCAGGCATAGTGGCGCATACCTATAATCCCAGCTACTCAGTAGGCTGAGGCAGGAGAATCGCTTGAACCCAGGAGGTGGAGATTGCAGTGAGCCAAGGTCATGCCATTGCACTCCAGCCTGGGCAACAAGAATGAAACTCCATCTCAAAAAAATAAATGAATAAAAATAAAAAAATAAAAATCAGGTAGGTGTGGTGGTGCTCACTTGTGGTCCCAGGTACTCAAGAGGGTGAGGAAGGAGAATGGCCTGAGCCCAGGATGTCAAGGCTGCAGTGAGCTGAGATTGCACCACTGCACTTCAGCCTGAGCAGCAGGGAGAGACCCTGTCTCAAGAAAAACAAAAGCAAACTAAAAATAAATAATAGGATCTGTGCATGAGACACCTCACCTGAAAGTCTGGGCCAAGGTCTTTTGCCAGAAGAATCTCCTTGGAGAGCCCCTGGGAGCCCAAGGAGGGCAGTGATGAGAAAGACTCCTGCTGCTCCTTGACAGAGCCCCCAAGGACTGCGTCTGCCTTCCGCGTGAAGGCGTTCAGCTCCTGCTGCAGCACACTCAGGCGCACCAGGATGGCATGGATGAGCTTGGTGTCCCTGGGGCCCTCGCTGTTGTCGGGAGCCTCATGAAGCCGGAAGTCAGCACACTCATTGTCCAGACACAGCCGGAGGCCAGCTGAGAAGCCGTTGGCATCAGCCACCAGGACATCGATGGCCTTACTGACCAGGGCGGCCTGCTCCCTCAGGCCAGGCAGCGCCTCAGCCTCCCTGGCTCTGCAGAGTCGGGCCGCATGGGACTCGTGTGTCTCGCCCAGGGGAGCAGGCACACACTGGGCAGAGTCTCCGGCCTCGGCATCCGTCTCCAGCATGGGCCGTGTACTCTGGCAGGAGGCGAGGTCGCAGCGCTGGAGGTTGGACAGGAGCACACGGTTCTCGTACTGCAGCTTCTTGACTTTGCCACTGAGCTCACCGATCTGCAGCTTGGCGGCCGCCAGCTCCTCCTGCGAGGGCTCGCTGAGCACGGAGCAGCTGTCCTCTGAGAGCGCCACATCCAGCTCGTGCTCCGAGCGGAACTTGGCCAGCTCATTCAGCAGCAGCTTGTTCTGGTCCTCGAGCTCGGCGGAGGAGCGCCGCAGCAGCTCAGCCTCCTCTTCCACAAACTGCAGGTGTCGCCGCAGCTCCGCCAAGCTCTCCCCGCACTCGCCACTACCCAATGCAGAGAAGGCCAGGCGTGCCTCGGGCCCCCCACAGCCACCTCCGTGGTCCTTCATGTCGTCCATCTCAGCCCGTAGGCCTCGGTTCTCCACCTCCAGCTCCACGATGCGGCGGCTCAGCAGGTTGGCCTCCTCCTCCACCAGCTTCAGGTGCACCTTCAGCTCGGTCTCCCTTGAGTGGGGGGCATCGGCCAGCTCCTCAGCTGACAGCGCACTGTCCAGGTCCCCGTAGAGCGAGCGGTACTTCAGCAGCTCTTCCTTCATGCCATCATTCTCCTTGGCCAGCTTAGTGAGCTTCTTGCACATGAGGGCCGACTCCTCCTTTGCAAAGTGCAGCTGGCACTTCAGGTCCGCACTGTCCTCCTGGGGACACGGGGACAGTCACAAACCAGGAAAGTTAGTGCTGGGAGGCTCAGTACCAGCCATAGCAGTTTGGGGGGCTACTAACTATGTGCTAGGAACACAGGGATGAATCAGACACAGCCAGACCCTCAAGGAGCTAAGGGTCCAGGGGAGATACAGAGGGGCAGACATTGAAATGACGGGGCACCACACACAGCTTAGGAGTCCAGGAGCAGGTGACATACTGATGGGCAACTACTGCCACTACTGCCATTACCACTACAATTTCATCAGTAAAATGGGGCAGTAACATTACCTCCCTCCCAGAGCCACAGAGGATTAAATGAGCTAAGGATGAAAAGGGCCTGGCACTCTGACAATCCCATACCACTAGGAGCTAACACTATGTGGCCTGTGCTGCATATAGTACTTTATCTGATTCTTCCAATGAACCCCCAAGACAGGGATAAGTAGGGAACGGAACCCCGAAACTCAAAGTGACTCACCGCAATCACATGGCAGTCAAGTGGCAGAGCCAAGATTCAAACATGGATGTCTAACTCTAGACCTTTGGATTTGACTGTAGTGCTGCTTGCTAAGCTCCTGGCTGGGGTAGGGAGTGAGCATCTAAGCATCTAAGAACCATGGGCTCAGGGCGTGGTTTTGGGCAGTGAAATTAAGAAAATGAGCAAGGGGACCCGGTGTGGTTGCTCACACCTGTAATCCCAGCACTTTGGGAGGCTGAGGCAGGTGGATTGCTTGAGGCCAGGAGTTCGAGACCAGCCTGGCCAACATGGTGAAACCCTGTCTCTACTAAAAATATAAAAATTAACCAGGTGTGATGGTGTGCACCTGTAGTCCCAGATACTCAGCAGGCTGAGGCATGAAAATCACTTAAACCTGAAAGGGAGAGGTTACGGTGAGCTGAGATTACACCACTGCACTCCAGCCTGGGGAAGAAAATGAGACTTCATCTCAAAGAAAACAAAACAAAACAAAAAAACAAAAAAAAAGAAAGAAAGAAAAGAAAATGAGCAAGGGGAGGACAGGGCAGAATCTGGGATCCCCAGGCCACTTGGAGTTAGGCTCAGGCCTGCAGAATAAAACCTTCCTACAGGGGCTGCTGGGAATTACCTGCACCGAAGGCTTCTTATCTGCCTTCCCCAGGGAGCGGGTTCCTCTTTTCTTCAAAGAATGCTGAAGGGAGATTTTAAAAAAAAAAAAAAAAAAAAAAAAGAGTCAGGACTAAAAGCTCACAGGGTGATTACATGCAGAGAACTGTCACGGTGCCCAGGATCCAAGGAGGGCATACTCCCCGGGCCACCCCACCCTGAATATTGAGCAAGAGGAGCCCTTCAGATCACCCAGCAGTGGAAGACTGGTCAGAAGCACTGGAGAAGATGATTCTGCAAATACCTGCCGAGGATGTTTGCACCCTCTACCCCACACCCTCCCATCTACCCCACTCCCACGTGTGACCCGGCTGGCCTCAGCCAAATCTTGGAAAGCTGTGTTTCTGTTCTCGTTTGTCTTTTATCAAAGGATTTCCTAAGTACCTATCAAGTACCAATAGGCAGGTGTAGAGAACACAGCAGTAAACCACAGATGATGTTGTGGTGCTTTTACAGATTCCCCTTTGGAACTGAGACACTCATTCCCCAAGCTGAGCCCTCAAAGCTGAGTACCCCTCCCAGTGACAGCCATTGGTTGAGGGGAACCACCTTGTCCAAGGGCAGGTGCCGTCCATGGATGGAGCCCACATCTATGCATGGATCCTTGACCCCTTGCCTCGGCCTTACAGGGAGAACCATCCTTGCTCCAGAGCTCCCCATGGGACTGACTGGGATCACTGGTACAATTCAGCTTCCAGCTCTGCCTCACTCCCTGTGGTGGTGTTCCCAAGGAGACTCTTCCATAAACCTCTTCAGGCAAAGCTCCATCTCAGAGAAAATCTGTCCTCCTGAAACTGACATCTAGTGCAAACTTTAATTCAGAATAAATAATAATGAATAAAATAAAAATGGGGGCTGGGTGTGGTAGCTCATGTCTGTAATCCCAACATTTTGGGAGGCTAAGACAGGAGGATAACTTGAGGCCAACATAACTGGTCTCTCTTCAAGACCAGGCTGGCCAACATAACAAGACCCTGTCTCAAAAAAAAAAAAAACAAAGAACAACAATAAAATGAATATGAGTACAACAAATGTTAATTACACAGGAGAAATGTGTAATTACGACTTGAATGGTCATGAGAGACTGATGGCAAACAGTGATTCAAAAATCCAGAAGCTGGCCAGGCACAGTGGCTCATGCCTGCAATCCCAATACTTTGGGAGGTTGAGGTGGGAGGACTGCTTGCATTGAAGAGTTTGAGACTAGCCTGGGAAACGTAGCAAGACTCCTCAAAAAAAAAAAAATTAAATAAATAAAATAAGATGTTTAAAATCCAAAAGCAATAGGGGAAAAAAATAGATACATTCGATTACACAGGCAAATTCTGCATGGAAATAAAAGCACCCTAACACAAGTAAAAACATAAATGACAAACTGAAAAAATATCTACAATGTATTAACACAGACAAAGGGTTGATATCCTAAATATGGAAACAGCTTCACAAACAGAGCATTAAAAGGCTAGCAGACCTGTAGGAAAATAGGCTGGAGATATGAAAAACAGTTCACAGGAAGAGAAAGGCAAATGGATCATGGTACATGAAGATATTCAACCCCACTCCTGTTAGATAAACGCAAATTAAAATTACACTGAGATACCATTTCTCACCTATCAGATTGGCAAAAATCCAAATATCTGACGACATATTCTATTGGTGAAGCTATGGAGAAACAAAAAGGTTCATAAATTCCTGGCAAGAATGCCAAATGGCACAAGCCCTACAGAGGGAATTGAAGGAAATGTTACAATAACAATTACTGAAGTTTCTCAATGTTTAAAGAAGTCATTCAACTAGATGCACAATTCTTTTTTCTTTTTTTTTTTTTTTTTTTTTTGAGACGGAGTTTCACTCTTGTTGCCCAGGCTGGAGTGCAATGGCACACGCGATCTCGGCTCACCGCAACCTCCGCCTCCTGGGTTCAGGCAATTCTCCTGCCTCAGCCTCCTGACTAGCTGGGATTACAGGCACACGCCACCATGCCCAGCTAATTTTTAGTATTTTTAGTAGAGACGGGGTTTCACCATGTTGACCAGGATGGTCTCGATCTCTTGACCTCGTGATCCACCCTCCTCGGCCTCCCAAAGTGCTGGGATTACAGGCTTGAGCCACCGCGCCCGGCCCTAGATGCACAATTCTATTGAGCGCTTCCTCCCAAGAGAGGAGGGGTGATTTGATTTGTGTTAGTGATGTATGTATAAAACCATGCTTAGGCTGTTTTGACTTTTCAAGGTGGGCTGGTGTATTTTTGAAAACGGCGCCCAGGTGATTTGGATACATGCTTACTCCCAAACCCCACCTCTCACACTCCATCCCTGAAAGTGGCAGCCACTGATCTAATACAAGTCCCATTTTTCTGAAGCCAAGAGACTGAGACAGGGACTTGTCCAAGGTCCCACAGCACACCCACAGCTGACCTGGGACCAGTTATTGACATAGCTTTTAACTGAATTCCAAAGAGTTGGCAGGAGAAAATGTGCCTTCTGATGAGGACCAGAGTGGAGCTAGCACAGTAGTTCTCAATCTGGTACACATCAGAATTACTTACAAAAAATGCTGGTGGTCTGGGGTAGGTCTGAGACATCAGTATTTGTTGTTGTTGTTGTTATTGTTGAGACAGAGTTTCACTCTTGTTGCCCAGGCTGGAGTGCAATGGCTCGATCTTGACTCACTGCAACCTCTGCCTCCCATGTTCAAGCGATTCTCCTGCCTCAGCCTCCTAAGTAGCTGGGACTACAGGAGCCTGCCACCACACCCAGCTAATTTTTGTATTTTTAGTAGAGACAAAGTTTTACCTTGTTGGCCAGGCTGGTATCGAACTCCTGACCTCCGGTGATCCGCCCACCTTGGCCTCCCAAAGTGCTGGGATTACAGGTGTGAGCCACTGGACCCAGCTGAGACATCAGTGTTTTTTAAATGCTTTCAGGTGATTCTGAAGAGCAGTTCGGATCTACTGTGCCAGGTAAAGAGAGCTCCAGATGGACCCTTAAGTACAGAATATCTTAGAGCTCAATCAAATCCTAAAGAGACCTTTTGAAATGCAAATGAGGCAGGAAGGCAGAGGCTGAAATTTCAGATGCTGGGTGTCAAGAGCCAGGAGCCAGTATTTAAGAAGTGCTTTCAAAAGCTGGAATGGAAGAGGAGGAAACAGGGCTGTGGGTCAGACAATGAGCCCTTCTACAAGAGCCAGGAGGCAGCAGCACAGTCAGTGGGGCCCTGAGCAGGGCACAAAGAGGCAGCTCCTCGTGTAGAGTGCAAGGTGGGGGCTCTGGGTTCAGCCCCTCAGGCTATGGAAGAATCCGGGTCCACCTATTACAAGCTGAGTGGGAAGGGCTGTGGCCTCACTGGGAGTTGAACCCTGGAGATCCTGCAAAGCTGAGTTTATGATACCTGGGTGAACCCTTTCCTCTCCCTGAAATTCCATTTTCTCATTTATAACATTGGGCCATGGATTAGGTGACCAGAGCCCCGCCAACCACTGCAGACTCCTTGGAGGAAGGAAGTGAAGTGACAGAGAGGAGAGTCAGGGGTCTCCACGGGTACCGAGGGTCAGGCATCACATGTGAACAGATGAGATCACCTAAAGCCAGCCAGGCATGGTGGCTCATGCCTGTAATTCAAGCACTTTGGAGGCCAAGGTGGGCGGATCACCTGAGGTTGGGAGTTCAAGACCAGCCTGACCAACATGGTGAAACCCCGTCTTTAAAAAAAAAAAAAAGAAAGAAAGAAAAACAAAAACAAAAAAAGAAAAAATTGGAAAAAAAAAAAAAAAAAGATCACCTAAAGCCATTCAAAGGACTGAGGGATCATGAGATTCACTGACATGTAAATGTCCCAGACACTCTGTTAAGGGAAAGAAGTAACCAGCAAAACAAAACCTATAACCCAAATATGTACACCAACTTTAGAATGGATGAACAAAATGTGGTCTAGCCACACAACAGAATATTACTCAGCCACAGAAAGAACAAAGAAATGGCCAGGTGCAGTGGCTCACACCTGTAATTCCAGCACTTTGGGAGGCTGAGGTGGGCAGATCACCTGAGGCGGACGTTGCCGTGAGAGTGTGCCATTGCATTCCAGCCTGAGTGACAAGAACAAAACTCCAAAGAAAGAAGAAAGAAAGAGAGAGAGAGGGAGGGAGTGAAGCAGGGAGGGAAGGATGGGAAGAAAAGGAAGGAAGGGAAGAAGAGGGAAAGAAATGAAGTCCCGGCCAGGCATGGTGACGCATGCCTGTAATACCACCGCTTTAGAAGGCCGAGGCAGGTGGTCAGGAGTTCAAAACCAACTTTGACCAACATGGTAAAACCCCATCTCTACTAAAAATACAAACATTAGCTGGGTGTTGTGGCATTTGCCTGTAATCCCAGCTACTAGGGAGACTGAAGCAGGAGAATCACTTGAACCTGGGAGGTGGAGGTTGCAGTGAGCTGAGATAGCACCACTGCTCTCCAGCCTGGGCAACAACAGTGAAACTCTGTCTTAAAAAAAAAAAAAAAAGAAAGAAGAAAGAAAGAAAGAAATTAAGTCCTAACACATGCTACGTCATACCTGATCCATGAGAACATCATGCAAAGTGAAGGAGGCCAGTCAAAAAAGGTTACAGATTGCATGAGTCTATTTATATGAAATGCCCAGAATAAGCAAATTCACAAAGACAGAAAGTACATTAATGGCTGTCAAGAGCTGGGGGAGATCAGGTGCAGTGGTTCACATCTGTAATCCCAGCATTTTTGGAGGCTGAAGTGGGAGGATCACTCGAGGTCAAAAGATTGAAACCAGTCTGGGCAACAGAGTGAGACCCCATCTCTTCAAAAATAAACCAGCCTGGGTGACAGAGGGAGACCCTGTCTCAAAAAACTAAAAAACGGCTGGGTGCGGTGGCTCACGCCTGTAATCCCTGCACTTTGGGAGGCCGAGGCGGGTGGATCACGAGGTCAAGAGATCAAGACCATCCTGGTCAACATGGTGAAACCCCGTCTCTACTAAAAATTAGCTGGGCATGGTGGCACGTGCCTGTAGTTC